GTTAAGTATATACTGTTTAAATAAAAAAAAACTATAATAATCTAAAGTATAATAAGAATTTACAATGTTTGTTTAGACTTGAAGTCAAGTCAACTTCGATTTTTATAAATTTAAAGCTTGACTTTTGCCAAATTCTTTTAAATATATGGCTTGCTAATATATTAAATATAGTTTTAAAGGGTTAAAACTAAGCTACTTTAAGCTAGATAATAATACAGACATTTTTAAATTAATTTACTCATTTATCATTGGTTCTATGACTTATATTTAAGACAGAAGTCGCCAATATTATTTATAGAAATTAAAATAAAGCTAAAATTGTAATTTCTTATATTTTTTTTAAGTTTTTAAATGTAAAATCTAAATTTTCTTACTTGATCGTACCTTAAATCATTTTTTATTATTATTATTATTTAGTTAAGCTTAAATTAATATTTAAAGCAAATATTTAGTGGTTTTTTTTTCTTCATAAAAATTATAATAAGCTCAAAACGAAACAAAATCAAATTGTATTTAAATAATAATAAAAATCCTTGAAAAAATACAAAAACATACCTCCCCAATAAAAAACTCTCAAAGCAAACTAACGAAATTTGCTTATAAATTATGCTTAATTAGTGCAAAAGCTCCATTTGATGACTCAGAGTAATAAAAAGGAAACTTAATTTCCCAAAAATTTCGTCACATATCGCATTACTCATACGACCCATTGGCTCACAGCTAAATTCATGGCGTTGCCAAAAGGAGCAGAGCAGGGTCCAGGTTCACCAGCTTAATTAAAACATAAACCAGGAGCATAAACAAATGAATAATTCACATTATGTTGAAGGAACCTCACACTGCTCCTCCCCCTGCTCCTCACCCTGCTGCTTCCTCTCCTAGCAAACATCCCACGACCCCGAACCAACCACCAAAGCCAAACACTTACCCTGACCGCAACTAGACAAAAATTTGCATTAGCCAAAAATGTATGGGGGGGGGACGAAAAAAAAAACAACAAAAAAAAGAGGAGAGAGTAGAAAAAGGGAACTTTTTTCGGGTTTGTGGTTTTCGCTGTTGGTGTGACTTTTATGCAAATGGAAAACGAAAAATATGAAATTTCGTTGCATAGTTTCGGGCACGCATTTAAATTGGTGCGGATCATGTATATATATCTATATATGCATATAGAGTATAGCCATGCACCGCTTCGATCCTTGCCATCCACTTGCAACATGCCTTAAAGGCTTTAAAAGCAATTTGTCTGCGTTTTTTAATACCCTTTCAGGGTATTCTAGTTTTAGTTAGAGGTTTGTAACGCAGTGAAGGAGTCATTTGCGGCTGTTCTTGTTCAATATCAGGAGACGCGTCGATCTAGCCATGTCAGAAAGAAATATAATTGTTACTAAAATCTAAATTAATTATAAATAAAATATTAGAAAATTGTACTTATATTTTGAACTAATTTTCAAAGGGACTAAAATTGTTTAAACTTAAGAAATATATTACTATTAAATTCTAAAATCTAAACTAATTACAAATAAAATATGGGAAAATTGTACTTATATTTTAACAAATTTTTAAGGGGATTACAATTTTTTTTTAATTAAAGAAATAAATTGACTTAAGATTAATGCGTTTTTGACTTAAAAATAATACATTTTCTTGATCTATTTCCAAACTGCAAGAGTATACAAACTTCTACTTTATGAATTTAGCTTTATTACTTTTTCTTTTTTATTTTTTAAGTTAAATTTTTCGATATTTTGCGTTGCTAAAATTTGCGGTGAAGGTGAAAGGGTATATTGTATGGAAAAACGTTCTCTAAAATTTATAAATATTTTAAATAAGTATAGTTCAGAAAAATAAGATGATAAAATACTATTTAATATCCTAATTTAACCTATTTTCCTTGTTTTCTTTTTAAAGTTTACCAAAATATTGAAGAGAATTGAATACAGGGTATCTCAGTCTAGCAATTTCTAGCAAACTCCCTGCAACCTCTATTATTTATTAGCTTTTTTTTATTTTTATTGTTTGCTTTTTTATTTTTTTTTTACTAGAAACATTCCGCGTGAGAGGTACACACATATATTTTGGTAGTTTTTTGAGGCGTGCGAATTTAATCAAAAGTCAAAAAGCGCACACACACGATGGGGATAAGAACTCGCTCCAATTTGGTAGAATTTTCCACGATTTTCATTTCACGTTTGATGCGTGCGCCCCTCTGACCCAAATAAAAAAAAAATAAAAACAACAAGAAAGCCAAACAGAAAATAACAGCAGGAGACGGGGAGGAGCCCACAAAAAGACTCATCAAAAACTCATAAATTTGCAATTTTCGACACATGACAAAACAAATTGTAAACAAAAGAAAAGCTACAGGCGAAAGAAAACTAGCGACAAAAAAAATGAAGAGAGGGAGAAGGAAGGGACAATAAACTTGACTACCTATGACAATATTGTCTTTTTTGTCCCGGCCTCGTTTTATTTTCCAACTCAATCAATGAAACAAAGGCGTAAAAAAGGCGTTAAGCTGCAACATCGCGAGGGAGATATATTTTGGGGAAAATGGGAAAATAGTTGGGAGATATAGTAAGCAATATTTAGGGCAAGTTCTACTAGTTAGAAAATTCAATAAATTATTTTAAAGGGTTAATAAAATTTATATAAATTTAAAAATTAAGTTCTCATTGGTTAAAACTGGCAGGAAGAAAAATGTGAATAAAAATTCAGTTAATGGGTAAAATATTTACTTAATATTATTATAATATATATATATATATATATTATTGTTATATTTAATTTATATAATTACTATATATTATTATTATATATTATATACTAAAACTGGCATTAATATATTATTCTAAAAAATCAATAATAATAATAATATTAATAAATATTTTTAAAAATAATAATATTAATAAGATAATAATATAATGAAATAGTTATATATATTTATATTTTTAAGTATAATTAAAAAATATACAAAAATTTAGGAATTATTAAATTAAATGAATATTATAATTCATACATTTTTATTTTATTTATTTTTTTATTTACATATGTATTTATTATACCTCACATAAAAATACTTATAAATAAATAAACAAAATTGTTGAATTGCTGAAAATGTATTGTATGCCATTTCTCTGCTTTTAAGTTAAATTGAAATTGGCATTGTTGTGAATTTATTGTTATTTCTTTATATGCATGCATGCTATACAATATCACCATTGAGTCAGTCTATATATATATATACATATAAATATGTATATATATATATATATACGGATGCATGAATTCCAACCAATTAAATGACTCCCAATCCCCAGCAAAAATCGCGAATGAATCAAAACTTATTTTGCAAGCAGTTAATGAATCGAAAAGGTGGATGACATTAAGAGTGTCACATAATACCCTTAAGAGTTTATCAGATAAGTGGGTCTGGGTGTTATAGTATGTCAATCTGTAACTTGAACTTGACAATAAAAATATTGGGGAACTTTAGAAAAATATAGTTGTTTGGTTTTTTTGTGATTTATTCGTATTATTTTTTAACCTTTTTTGTAGTAATTTGTTGTTAATTTGTAATATACATACATATGGGGGAATTTTGTAAGCTTTGTTTTTCAACTGCGAATACAACAATAAGAACAATTAGTTTGCGTTGAAAAAAATGTGAATAAGTTACCTTAATACCCTATACTATAAATATTTAATAATTATTATTAGTAAATAAATATTATTGAGCCATAATTAATATTAATAAATAAATTTGTTAATACTAATACCTTGGCAATAGGTAAAATGAAAAAAAGACAATTGCAAAATTGAATTAACAGAAAACCTTAAGAAATATTTTAAGCCGCTTTACTTTTTTTATTTAAACATTAATATATTTTGTTTTTATTATAATTTGCTTTGCAAACAAAGTAAACTTATAAATATAAACATTTAAATAATTAAGACAATTTTAAATTAATTTTAAAAATACCTAAAGCCTTGGTTAAAGCTTAAAATTCTTTCAAATATAGCTAAGAACTAAACTAACCTTGACCTACATCAACATGTGACCCATTGATACCCTGGAAAATGCATATATGCGGTATTATAGCTAAGAAAACGAACCGAAAGCCACAATAGAAAAAGTTCAACTAATTAGCGCAAGTGACTTTTGAACGTTGTCGTTTTTTTTTTCTATTTATTTATACTTTATTGTTGCTGTTGTTGTTGTTGTTGTTGGCGTCAATTGAACAGCGGAATGGAGCGTGAAAAAAAAGAATACAACAATGCCGTCAGAAGATGGCTTGTAAAAATATTTACCATATACAAAGTAATAATAATAATAAAGAGCAATTAACACATTTTTCCTCCAAAGCGCTCTCTCAACCAGTTTTCATTTCGGGGGCAAAAGACGATTTATTCGTTTTATTCGGAGAAATACAAAAAAGTGGATCGCAACTAACTACACATAATATAATACGAGTCTTCATCTTTATCACTCTCTCACAAACACACAAACATAAATGCAGATTACAGTGTAGCCTGAGTACAGGGTTCAGCATAAACTTTGATCATCTTGTACAATTATTAGTTATTTATTTTATTAATTTTATTAAATTAAGTTAATAAATATCTATTGATGAGTTCAAATATTATATATTTTGTAATTTAGATAAGTCTTAAAAACTGTAAAAAATCCCAGAGCATTACCTTCTTTACCGCTCTTGCGATCCTTAGAATTCCCAAGTGGTTCTAGTTCATATTGAAGATTAACCTTTGTCTCTCCTAATTACCAGGCTTCCTCACATTTATAATATTTATATAATTCTTGGATATATTATTAAACACTAGTACGTATCTATAAGATACCTTCTAACAATTTAAATTCAGCACGAGGGCTCACTGTACACATACAGGGCTGCTTTGCTGTCTTTAATCTTTTTGAATTGAAAGAAATCTCGGCGCGACTTGTCGAGGCTCTCAGTTCTCAACGGCCGGCGTCGATTTTTCAGTTCGAAAACGAATGCGGCGCCGTGAACACAAAGGGAATCCATTACCGATAAATCGAATAAATCAATGCAAAAGTAACATTTTTTTTAAATATAATAAAATAAAGAATCTTATAGGTTGCATGTATCTTATAGATTGGCATGTGCAAAAGTGTAAAAAGTGTAAAAAGTGTAATGAAGCCTGGAGAGAGAAGTGCAAATAAAGAGAGCTGCTAATAAATTGCAACTAAGGTGATCAGTGATAACTTCTCTCCGCCGCTCTCTCCGGCTCTCTCGCTCTTTTGAAGGGCATTCCCCGTGAATTTTTTTCGGCTGCTCTTATCGAAAACTCGCTAGCTGATAAGGTTTGATAACAGATAAGGTGGCGGTTCTCTGTTCTCACCTCTCTCGTCTCTGCTCCCATTGCTCACCTCCTCTCTCTCTCTCTCTCGCTTTTCCTTTCGCGCGTCAATCGTATTCTCTCATTGTCCGTTAAATCGCGAACAGCTGTTGAAAGCAAGTGGCTGCAAACAAAGCTCAAGAGTGCAGCAACAAAAACAAAAAGGAAATTCACAAGTCGCTGAAAGTGGAACGCAACAAGAATATATTATTTAAAATAAAAAAAAAACAAAAAAAACTTAAAATTTATATAGCACATATATAAAAAAGAGGAGAGAAAACCAGCCACAATGGGAAGAGATCGAATGCCGGAGCTTTTGGTAAGTGGAGCAAATGCAAAAGCAAAAGAAAATATGAGGTAACTGCTAATTAGCTATGTGCACAGTGGCATTTAATTTTAGAAGAGACTAAAAACTACTTTAGTATTTATCTAGATATATACTTTGGGATTCTTAATGATCCGTTTATGTTTATCGTCCAGATAAACTGACTGTTAACAAAGCTTCAAGCTGTTAAAGATTTATACCCTCAAATAAACTGACCGTTAAAAGTCTACACAATAAAGTATAGAATTTTGTAGCTCAAAGTCAAGTTTTTCTATGTTTGTTTAATGTTTATCGGCCAGATAAACTAACTGTCAACAAGCACAGAATATTTTTTTAAAAATGTAAGAAGCTGTTACCAGAAATCTGGACCCACTGTTCCGTTCTTAACAATCCGCTCACAATTTCTCACAATTTTTCGCCTTGGTTTCGCCGCCACTATTTCGACTTCAAGAATCGCGGGGTTTTTGGGCAGGGGTGTGCTAAGCATTTATCAGATTGTCCAGAGATAAGGGCGATAATGTGGCCCACACATCACACTTGCGCCACCCGACCCCCGCGGACGCGTCCTTGCCACCCACCAGCGATATGCCCATTTAGCACTAAGTGAATTTCAGTACTGAAGTCATTTTTATTGTTCATTTACACCGCGCCAGATTGGGAACAGAAAAATAAATATATATATAAAATGTACAAACACCACAGTTGGTAGTTTCTATTTATTGTTTTTTTTGTTTTCTCGCAGTTTTTCACTGCAGTTCGTTAGGATCGGATGGATATATTTTAAATAGTTTCGTTTCTTTCCCGACCTTTTTTAGCGCTCGTTGAGCTCGAACTCGAACTCGAACTCCTCGTCCAACGGTTCCCTGCTCCTGAACGTGTACAGTGGAACCACAGAATTCAAGACCAGCACAGGCCCAGGCGGCACCGGAAATAGCTACACCATATCCGGTCATAATAATAATAATAATAATACAAATACTAATAACAACAATAACAATAGTGGCGACAGCAAGGATCGGGCCAGCACCAAAATGTCTCAATATGGCTCGAATGTGGATGATATTCTCAATCCGGTGAGTTGTATTATTTTTTAATATAAAATATATAATTAATATATATTTAAGAAGAATTAAGCTTAACAACTTTTGGTATTAAACTAAATATATTTAAAAAAAATGTTTGCTATTCTATCCGTTTGTTGATATTTTATCGTTTATTTGTGTAAATATTTTTAATAAATAATCTTTATAAAATCTTTATAAATCTTTAGCTATTTATAAGTATTATTATAATAATAATATATATAAATTGTATATCTTTCTAAGCGTGGGAATCGTAGAATATCTCTCCCTGTCTCTGTGTTTTTATTTTTTTTTCAGTAAGCTCCGTAAGTTTTATGAATCAGCTGTATTACTCAATATGGCAAAAACTCGTGATAAGTGTAGGGGAAAAAATCGCTTTTTCAATTAAATATGTTTGTTGTGATTACGAAAAGTTCGAGAGGGAGCGAAAGATATAGAAAATAGAGCGAGAGGTAGGTCTCACATAGAAATTGAGAAAAAGTCACGCCCATTCATTCCCATTAATGGGGGGGGTTTTTTTTTTTTTGACTCTCCATAAAAAATGTAAACAAATAATTTGCGCTTGGCAACCGACAGAGAATTTTCGTAAGATTTAAGAAACAGGTTTTAGGAAAAGGTAAAAAAAAAGAAACTAAACAATAATATTATTAGTACTAGATATAGTTTCAATACTCTTATTTTATTCTAAAAAATAATGAAAATAAGAACACTTATTATTCTTAAATATAGCATAAACTATTACTTTCTTGTTGTGTTTATTTTTATTTTACATTTCAATTACTTTATTATTATAATTAACTTCTTTATACTAATATTTCAAGGTTGTGTATTATATATTATAATAGTTATTAGATGTTTTTTAGTTTTTAATAATAATAATAAGACGTCTGAAACATATATAATTTAAATTTATATACATTTCCTTACCCTAATTAATATATTTTATATAAGCTTATTAAATAATTTTACCTAACCCCAATTAATATATTTTTATTATAAGCTTATTAAATACTTTTAATTACTTCCAGTACTCGGAGATTCGCCAGCAACTCGCTCACATTGCCGCCAATTTGGAGGCGATGAACCGCATGACCCAAACTATTAATCTGCGAACGTTTAACGGTGAGCATGAATAATAAATGAATAAGTATTGGCAAATATTAAGATTTAATTTTTTACTTTTAGAGAACGAAATGGGTGAGTTGCACAGTAAAAATCTGCGGTTGGGCAATCAGCTTATGACGCGATTCAAGGACTTTAAGGCAAATCTTCCGGCGGAGAATGACTACAGCTTGGAGGCCAGAATGAAAAGAACCCTGTTCTATGGTCTCCACCAGACCTTTATAAATCTTTGGCATAAAAACGAACTTTTCCTGCAGAACTACGAGTTCAAGGTGAAAAAGAATCTGCGTTTGCATTCCAAAATAAGTAAGTATTTGAAGAGTTTGGTTTGAAATAAATACAATCCTTTCATTGTTTTGATAACATTTATAATGTAATCATTATTTTTATTTTGCAGTCAACTCAGAGGCCAGCGAACAAGAGATCGAGTTACTCATTGAAAACAAAACAACGAAGCTCTTTGTGGACAATGTGAGTTGATTTAACTTATTACAGAAAATAATATTTCCGAATTTTTAAGAGCAAATCAAAAATGAAGACTAAAAAAGAATAACTAAGGATATTTAGGTTCATTGGCATTCTAATTAATTCTTGATGAATCTTGAGACAAAAAAAAATATTCAAGAGATTAATTGAATAATAATTAATTCTAATTTATATAATCTAAAAAAAAAATCATTTGATTTTCTTTCAGATCCTTCAAGAAACGGAAAAGGAACGCCAGACACTGCGCGATCTAATGGACAGATTCAATGAGCTGCGTCGCCTGGAGAAGTCCATTGAGGAGGTTCACGCCCTGTTCATGCGTATCCAGACCCTGGTCCTGGAGCAGAGCGAGACGATCCAGCGGGTTGAGTTCCATGCCCAGCAGGCCACCTTGTATGTGGACAAGGGTGCCGACGAACTGGACCAGGCGGAGAAGCACCAGAAGAGAGCGCGCAAGGTAAAGTATTTACATTTGAAATAAATAATTAATTAATTCATTCATTTTTATTTGCAGAAAAAAATAATGCTCATTGTGATACTTGCGGTCGTGTTGTTAGTATTACTTCTCGTTGGTATTTATTTGTGATGTAAATGTGACATTTAATTATATTATTACATTTTTTTTTTTTTTTGTATATTATTAAGCTATAAATTTAAGGAAATAAACTAAAAGATAAAAAGACATTGATGTTTATCGAATTAAAAAAAAGAAACGGTTTTGTTAATTAAAATTGGGATGTGTTCATATAAAAATTTAAATTAATCAAGTTGGCCACAGTTTCTATCGATAGGCCAAACGAAATCGATTGCTCTATCTTCACCTTGGCCATCACTAATTGTTTATTATCGTTAGTATGTTTCCGAAATGGTTCATTCGGTTTCCAGCTTCATTGGGGATAAGTTGTCCACTCTCTTATTTTATTTTAATTTGTTTAAGTTTTATTTTTTGTTTAATTTAAAAAGTCTTATTTTTGCATTTCATTTTCTTTGTTTTTTTCTGATGTCAATTCAATTTATCAAAGTCTTCTTGTAAGATTTTTAATTCAAATTGCTTTAGGTTACAATCGAATCGAATAAAGTTTCGTTTTTTTGTTTGTTTTTTAAGACTTCATTTATTTATTTAATTATTTTATTTCTAAAGTTTTATTTCTACATGTAAAGTCGTTATTTTCCGCCATTTTGTATGTCAAATTTGTTGTCTCTGACATTCCTAATTTTTTGCATTTTTTTTTTTTTTAATTTTTAGATTTATTTTTGGTTTCAGGATCTGCCAGCTGATATCGCTTTATTTTTTACTTTTAAGTTTAAATTTTATTTGTTTACAATTGCATCGAATAGAGGATTTGTTTTACTTATTTATTTTTATTTTCTTCTATTTTTGCCATTGCTGTCTGCCAGCTAATAATTCTTTATTTAAAATTCAAGTTTTTGCAGTTTATATTAAATTAACTTTTAAGAATTTTATATTAAATTTTTTAAAGAATTTTATATTTTATATTAAATTTTTTTTTAAGAAGTCTAGGTAAATACTGAAAATACACAACAATTATTCGGCAGTTCTTCTTATTTATTTGGTAAATTTATTTATTTTAAAAAATTAATTTCGAGTTATCTATGCCGGGCTAGAGTGACCAGGCATTGGGACCTTTATCCTTTGCTCCGCGATTTTAGTACATTTTGATTGAAGGAATTTTCTGTTTCCACACTGCGGTCACACCGTTTCAATTTATACTATAAAGTTTCTGGTTAATAACTTTTTTTATTACAAAGCCATGCATTTTTCCACGCCTGAAGTGAACTAAGGTAAGCCTATTTAGGTTCCCCGAGGACTGGACATCTCGTCCAGCAGGAGAGCGGAGGGCAGGAAGTCATCCGCTGGGCGGACGACGCGGAAAAGCGACAATAACAAACCAACCCCGGGCGCCATTTTTGCTGAATTCCGAGAGGACTACGCAGTAATTAACTGCATCCTGATCCCCATTGCAGGCGGGGACTCGGATTCGGATACGGATTTGTTGTGGCCAACATGGAGGACCCGTGCAAGCCGCCGCCCCCGGCAGTTTCCCACGACGAAGATTCGCAGCCGAATGCTGCCAGGGGAGTGCACTTTAAGCTGCAGCCGGAGGAGGAGCTTCTTGGCTCAGTGACCACCCACAATTGCCCGGGAACGCGGGCCAGCGCTCGCGTTATCCAGAAGATGAAGCAGGACCAGACCAGGCCTATGACGCCGCCGCCCAGCGAGCGGGAGCATAACAAAAAGGAGGAGAAGGCCGCCCAGAAGACACCGTCGCAGCTGAAGGCGGGCGGGAATGGGAAGACTACCTGGACGAATATAGAACGCAATTGCTTCTTCGATGCCCTCAACGAGTTTGGCAAGGACTTCGAAGCGGTGGCCAACTGCATCAATGCCAAGCTGAAGCGTCGCAATGCCAGCAGCGACTACAGCTTCAAGACAAAGGATCAGGTGCGCCAGCACTACTACCAGACCTATCACAAGATCTGCAAGTATGTGCGATATTCAGAAGGTGAGTCCTGAAGACGGAGCTACCTTTTCCCGACATCTATCACCTCTCCTCCTTCTTTTAGAGCTCAAAAAGCCCGCCCAGGAGCTGTACACCTTGATCAACTACGGCGAGATGCGCCGGAAGCTGCAGTTCCTCACCGAGAAGCACTTCATGAAGCTGAAGCAGCTGGTTTACCAGGGACAAATCACAGTTCGCTGCAAGGGCAAGAACATACGCATCAAGACGCCATCCTGCAAGGCACTCCGCCGGCTGAATCAACTGGATGGTGAGTGGATATAAGCTATAGGCATTTCCAAACCTAACTCTCGAAACCCACTTAGATTCCCTTGAGGATATAAGGCTGCCCAGCAAGGTGGAGGTGCTGGTGACGCCCGCCAATATGGAGGCCTTTGGCCGCGTCCAATCCTTGGCCCAGAATCCACGCGGCAGGATTATTGTACCGCTGCACAAGAAGCTCATCGGTTTCATCAAAACGTTCGAGTACAAGTGGCGCAGTGCCAATCAGCGTTTGAATGAGGAAAAGTCTAGCTTTGGTTCAGTACCCGCTGCTGCTCCTGCTCCTGCTCCTGCTGGTGACCCGGAGCCATTAGCTTCACCCTCACCAGTGGCCTCACTGGATCCCTCGCTGTGCTTCCAGCCGCGACCTGGCGTGGCCATCCATCGTCCCCTGCTGAGCATCACCGCCTATTTGAGCAGTATCAACATTTGTCTCTCCGCCTACGAGGAACGTTTGGGCTTCAAGGTGCGCAGCGAGACATTGGGCAATCTGCCAGGGATTCCGGTCAATGCCAGCAAGAGGCCCAGGACAGAAAGTGGATCCGAGAAGCGTTCACCGGAATCGAAGAAGCCCAAGTCGGGCAACAGTCCGGCGTTGGAGAAGAGCCTGGACGAGGTGGGAAATCATCATCACGTAAAGCTCGAGAATAGCAGCGGCGATGAATTGGGCGAGGAGATACAGGAGTTCCTGGGGGATCTGGAGGCGGCCGCAGCAGCTCAAACTCTAAACACAAATTCAGTTACAGCCGAAATGGCAGACACAACGGAGCCACTCATGGACTCGGATCCTTGTGCCTCACAAATCTCTCCCCTGCTCACCCAGCCTCCTGCTGCCGCCCCACCGCCAGCTCCCGTCACCCCGGCCTCTGCTCCCGTTCTGGCCCGTTCCAAGAGAAAGGAAGCCAAAGAAGCAGCAGCCGCCGCCCAGGCACGCAATTTTAAGCCTCTGCTCAGCGATGAGATCCTAAAGAGAATCCGCAAGGGCTGGACAGTGGCAAATGCGGCGGATATAACCATTGGTGACCTGTATGTGGTCCTGGGTCAGGACTCGAAGCTGGAGCTGGAGTATTACTGGTGTGAAATGGAGAACATGCCGCCGCCGCCGCCAGTGGGCTCGAATTCCATAACAAACTTGTCTTCCACCTCCAACTCCTCCTCCTCGTCCTCCAATGTGGCCACCCAAACGGGCAGCAGCTCCTCATCCTCATCCTCCTCCAGCAGTCTTCAAATTGCCACCTCTTCCACCACCACCACCACCACCAACACCAACAACAACAACAATAATAATAGCAACCCCTTGATCACCGCCACCAGCTCTTTGCCCTATAATCCCAACGACTGTGATAGCGTGGAGCGCGTCAAGGCCGTCACCACATCCTCGGTGAGCAACAAGCTAAAGCATCTGCTCCTGGTGGCCAATCTCAGCGAGCGTGTACGCAAGCGTCAGTGCAACTGCGGGCATACCTGCGACCGGAAACGTGACCTAATGACCAAAGCCCAGCAGCTGGCGGATGCCTCAGCTGCCGGGGGAATCGGGATGGATGGTGGCAACTTTCGGACACCCATGCTGCCGGTTAGGCGGCCCATAGCCAACATCATAGATCCTGTAAGGCAGCTGTCGGCGGTGAGTTATCATGATTTATTTTAAAATTTTAATTTAATTTATAAATGCATGAGAAAATATTCTCTTAAACGTTGAAAAATATCTTCCTTACCCTTCCAGCTCACCCGCCAAAAGATCAGTCGCCAGGTGCTGGTGCAGCGTCGCCTTCTGCCCCCCGCTTCCGTTGGCGGTCGTCCCTACGATCTGCTCAGTGTGCGGCAACTTCATAGCGGCCTCTTTGAACCCATTGATCGCCTTGGAGGCAGCAGTTCCAGTGGTATAAGCTCTGGCTCCAGCCAGAGTCCAGTGCTATCTTCTGGCCAGGCGGCAGGCAACGATACGATACAGGCAATGCAGTTCCTGGACGAGGGCAAGAGTCAGCAGGGTGGAGGCGGTAGGGATATGCCCAATCTGGATTTGTGTGTGGCCACCACCAGTGATGGGAGAACTTTTGCGAATGTTGACGTCCAGGATGAGAGCACAAGTAGGTTGATCAAAGTCTTGAAATATTTTTCTTATTTTAAAATTCAAAGAATTACCTACTGCAAAAGCAGTTTGCTTATTAAAACCACTTGTTAATCCGTTGTATTTTGCTCTTTTTTCAGCTCAAAACTTTTTCCATGGCAGCGTAAGTCCCATGCACTTGCTAAGAGACTCAACCTCCAATGCCCGTTGGCTGGAGGATAACATCAATGACTTCTCGCTAACATCACTGCTGGGGCACCTGGACGAGATTGATGCCACCAGAGATATATTGGTGGGTACAAATTTAAATCAACTCTTAGGAAATTTCATATATTTTTTGTTTATTTCAACAGGATCCCTCATCCAGCATGTCGGTGATCAGTGAGAGCAGCGTGGACTTTCGGCACAAGTTCCAGGAGATTGCCGCCCTGCTGCAGCAGCAGGAGAAGGATTAGCAGCGATAACACATCCATGTGTGCCTCCATAACATGTTTTTTCCCCCTCATTTTTTTTATGAATTGTTTCTGCTTGTTTTTAAAAACTCACTGATATTATGCATCATCCCACTTGTTACATATATATTTATGTGATCCTTGTGATCTATTCTCATATTATGTCTCTGCCAAGTATTATAGGAAGCACTCACATTGTCTAAAAATTAAACATATATATATATTTATTTATATATTAAGTTTATAAATGAACCGATAGGAAGGATAACTCTTATATTAATAATTTGTCCTGTATTATTTTTCTTACTCCAATCAAAGCAAAGAACTTATTATCCTAAAAGCTTAATATTTTGTTTGTTTCCGCACTCCTCCAAATTGATTTTCTTGTAGCTTTTAAGGTCGGTTCAAAGTAGTTTGTAGGTCATTAAAAAACGCAAAAACAAAACACCAATCAGAACTTCCATGTGTTTTTAGCATCCAAAACAAACTCCTCCTTGTTAATGATATATCCATAACTATATATAGTGTATGATGGGGAGCACAGGAACAACATTTAGTTCTAGAGCGTATGTATTTTGTAACTGTCTAACACTTGGAACTTGTTATATTAATTAACACGAGGAAAAGCCGAAAATAAAAAGCAAGCTAAATTCAAAGATTCAAATGTTGTATCATTTTTTCACGGATATACCACTTTACAATCGAAAATATCAAGTTTGATAGGTAAAGATATCGAAAATATATCGTATTTAACTAAAAAGAATATCGATATTATTAAAACTCATTATTTAAAACTCATTTTACCCTAGAAGGGTATTTTAATTTTAGGCAAAGTGTTTGCAACATATATATGCTTGATCAGCATCAACAGCCGAGTCGATCTAGCCATGGCTTCTGTCCGTTTTTACGGAAACAAATTTATATTTATTATAATTTATATTTATTATATTTTATTTTTATTATAATTTATACTTATTATATTTTATATATTTATTTAAAGATTTTTTTTTTTTTTAGGCGAGACTCTAGTTCATTTTTGGCATAGTTAGAAATGTATATGAAATTATCGGAGATTTAAATATCGAAAATATCGATAAACGTTTATATTTTCTCTCAAGAAATTAAATTACCAACTGCGTAAAACTAAATAACCAACATTTTTATAATTAAATTAGATACACTAGATACTCCTCTCTCAGCTCAGCTCTCTGCTTGACCCTCCTCCGCCTGAGCCACCACCTTGCCGCACCTATTTCGCCCCTCCTTATGCAACTGCTGGTGCAAGCCGAGCGAAACCTGCCGCTTAAAGGATTTGCCGCACTCGCCGCAGGCAAACGGCCGGGCACTGCTGTGGACAAGCATGTGGCGATTCAGCTCCGAGGTGCTGCCAAAGCTGCGCTTGTGACACACCTGGCACTGATGCGGCTTCTCCTGGCTGTGGCAGCGCTTGTGGGCAATCAGGTTGCTCGAGTACCGGAAACTCCGGCCGCAGATATCACAGCCATGCGGCTTCTCGCCCGTGTGGGTGAGCATGTGCTTCTTGTAGCCCGACCGCTGGGTCAGTCGCTTCCCGCAAACGGTGCACTCGAAGGGCTTGATGCCGCTGTGGGTGAGCAGGTGAGTGCGGAGCGATGATGCCTGACGGTAAACCTTGCCGCAGGTGGAGCAACGATTCGGATTGTTTGGATCATGTAGCGTCACATGGCCATCGTGGGCGTTGCGCGTCTTAAAGGATTCGCCGCAAATGCGGCAAACGTAGGGCGTGGCAGTGCCATGCAGCTGCATGTGGTACTTGAAGGAGTTGCTGGTGCTCAGCTGCTTGTCGCAGATCTATAAAGTTTGCAGATATTTTAAAGGGAATATATATTAAGATAAAGTTACAGCTAACCAACCTGACACTGCAGGCTGGGGGTTTGAGGTTTCCTGCATTGCTTCCTGCTTATGGCTTTCTTTGGTGGCTTTGGGAGCTCCGAGGACACCTCAAGTGACTCTTCCGCTGGCTCCTCGACAATCTCATAGAGTTCCTCTTCCAATAATTCAGCCTCTACATGGTGTTTTTCGGTAATCTTTGTCCAGTTCTTGGCCAGTTCTTCTCCTTCCATTTGGGTTGACATTGGCTGTCCTTCCTGCTTCCTGCATATCTCCACTTCGACCTCTATCGGGTGCCCTTGCTCCATTTCAAGGTGCTGCTCGTCCAGCACAAAGATGTACTCCTCGCTGAGCATTTCCTCTTTCCCTTTTCCCTGGCTTAAATCCAACTGGCGCTGCCTTAGCTGCTTATCCATGCGGTGAACACTTCGCTTGAACTGCAGCGAAGCCTGCATTTTCACCATGCAGCCGGGGCATATGTGCTGGGGCAGGAAGTGCTCCTTCTCGAGGATCTCCAGGCCGGTGCAGTAGCTCAAAACCTTGGCCAGAGTTGTGACTTTTCCGGCAATAAGGTGCTGACGGAAGAGCGGTAGGCAACTGGAGGATGGCACATTGCAAACACGACAGAGGGCGGCTTCCTGGTGGTTTTGGCAGTGTGACAGGGGGGCTACCGCCAGCTCCACGGGGTTAGCCAGCGACATAGCTCCCAATATTGTCCTTCAGGGATGCCTTGAGTGGGAAATTTGATATTTAATTTGGATCCAAACTTTGTTTGGTTTTTGTTGGTGGCCCGTTTAATAGAGGTGGACCAACACCGATATTAGCAGACATCGGTTTTTCGATTATTTAAAGGTAAATATCGATCAAACATCGATAAAACAGTTACAGTTTAAATATTTCTCTACATTTCTTAGAAGAGCTGGACCCAGTTTCCATTGGCTGACCTGGTAAAATAATCAATGTAATTATATTTTATAATTTCCGTTGCCATAAAAAAGTTAAGTTTCGAATGTTGGCTAAAGATGAATGCTTTCAATACCTTTCCCAACGCTTTGTTATTATCATTTTATATGAATCCCCCATAAAAATAACAATAATTTCATATTTATATTTCAAATAAAATCCCCCTATTAAACCCATTATTCACACTGCTCCCACTTTTCGGTCTAATCGATTTTTAAATCGAATGATTCCCACTTTTATATTTCAAATAAAATCCCCCTATTCACACTGCTCCCGCTATTTTCTGTCTCATCGACTTATCGATTTTTAAGTCGACTGTTTCCCACCTCTATCTGTCAAACTGATAGAAATTTTAAGAGAAAGTGATCTCTCCATTTGCTTTAAAATTCAACTATAAACTATTTAGTGTGGTATGGCTGGTAATTAATCCTCATATTAAGGAATTTAATTAAAATTTAACTAATTTAACTAAAAATGTTGTTTAATTTTAATACTGTTTTCCAACACTAACACACACGCATACACACAAAAGAGTTAATAATTTTTGTGGTATACATACACATCGATTACGCATAACGAGTGGACATTAGTTTAGTTTTTCCTGTTCTAAAATTTAATTTCAAGCTTGGTAAGAGTCTAACCAAAACGGAAACTGTCATAAATAGGTCTAGCCGGGGGGTACAGTTGACAGTTGGTCAAATAAGTGAATACTCATGCCGCAGCCCGTACATACAGTCATCGCTGTTTTGTGACAAACAAAATGGTGGTGACCCATTAATATACCCTTCCTTCCCCGGCTTGCCTTCAGTCTTCAGCTAGCGTCAAGTGAGTGCGGGTCTTGCTCTCGGGATCTTTTCAAAGATTTTCCTTATAAGAAGCACATTTAGTTATTCTTCCCCCTACTTTCTCTTGTGTTTGTGTGTGTGTGTGTGAGATTTTTGAACACGTTGCAATTTATTAATTAAAATTTTTTATCTCATTTTCTCTTCCTTTTAGGGGTCGGAGCGGGGTGGCCATCGATGGGGTAAGAAAAATGGTGTGACTAGCTTGGAGATCGGTTTGCTTCGGCGTAGGAAAGTAGTAATCGAAGCGGACCGTTCAAACCGATTTCCGAAGCAAACAATTTGGGAGTTCAAGTGTTAATTGGACGCTCAGATGAATGAATTAAATATAAAAATACAACAAAATGGTTTCCTTCAACCGAAAAGCTGAGAGATATTGTGTCTTACGACCAGTAAGAACAATACGGTTGACTGAAACCCTAAACAATATATATTGTTTTTATGCAGGACTCGTCTGTCCTGCTGACAACACACACAAAAAAATATGAATTTAAGCAACGTTTTACAAGCCGAAATGAAAAAGGAAACCCAGTCTTATAAGGCATGTAAAATGTTGCAAAATACTCAACATAAGTAACGTTTTACGCGCCTTAACCAATCCAAAAGAATCGAGAAATTGATAAATTTCGTGTGACTAAAATGGAAGTTGTACGAAATTTGACAATTTAAAAAAGGAAAATGAACTCATTTTGTACGTAATTTAACAATTTAATAGAAGAAAAAAGATGAATTTATTTTGTTTAGAAAGAGACGGGAATATGCAGGCCATCTCTCTCACATTCCCGTTTTTTTTCGATTCGAAAGAGACGAAAAATCGAATCAAATAAGAAAGAGATGGAGATAAAAGGCGGGAATAAGCACGATTTGAATTGAGACCAGACGATCACTAATCACTGGATCCAAAATTAGTGCGCGGACTCCATGTGCTTGGATGCTGTTCTCAGAAATAAACAGTATTATTTAAGTAAACCGTCTGTGAAATAAAATGATTTTGAAATAAATGTTATTTGAACAATAATTAAATAGTTTTTCCTTTGACTTCTTAAGAAAACGCATGGCACAGGCATATGGGAGCTCCCTCGAAGAATAATTAAACACCTCTTATAGCACTTAAATAAGCCTGATTAGGCGAACTTCAAATAATTACTTTAAAGCTTGTTTTTATGCGTGTTTATTCAATTCAGATGTAAACTAATAAACCACCAAAACTGTACTAAAAATTAAAGATAAACATTAAACTTTTAAAATATGGGCTCGTCCGCCATTTTGTTGGCGCAAAACAATGGCGGAAGCTGGAAAAATGGCAACGAAGGCATGGGCAGCACTGGAAACGCTGCCAGACTTCCCGTTTTAAAGTGCCCAGTTATGATTTTTTGAGATTTTTTTGATTGAAGACCAAATTTTCATCTGGTCACACTGCTACAGTCAGCCAATGAATTTCTCGAAATGAATGTTTCAAAATTAAAATTATCCAAATTCTACGTTATAATCGCTTCCGCAACTGAACTCGACGTCGAGTTGACACCAAACAAATCAGTGCTCCCAACGCGACAGTGAAACGCGTGGTTTAAAGTGCGTAAAAAGTCAACAAAAGTCATAAGCTTTCTGTTTCTGTGCTGTGCCAATACATACGTAACGCAGTGAGCGTGTGTGTGCGTTTTGTGTGTGTGTGCATATGCATATGTGCATGTGTGGGTGGTCGCCTTGAAAACATAATCGTGCCATCTGCGTATTAAAAAAGCGAAAAGGAAGAAAGAAAAAACAATTGTGTATAATATATATATACAGGCACACACACACACACACACAGGCACAACGTAACATATGTTTAACAGAGTGCAGGCGCAACAACAAAGCACAAGTGCACTGTTAGTTAGCAGTTCTGGCCCCTGTTAGATCAGCAGTTCGCCTCTGTTAACAGTGGGCAGCAGTGTGCCCGTTTCGGACCACAACCTATATCTCAGAAATCCGATTTCGAACTGTAAAAATATTTCAAGGCAGCACGCAATAAAATTAGATGCGATTAAAACTAAAAACAAGCGTTTAGAGTTCAGTGCAACTAGTGGAACAAAATTCGCAGTATACAAACCAGGCTACACAACATGCTAACCGTATAAGGCAACAACAAAGGGCTGCCTGCAAAACGCAAAACGCAAAACGTAAACAAAAGAGACGAAACGAACAGAGAAGGCGCAGCAGCAGACAAGAGCCAGAACAAGAGAGAGAGAGAGAAGGAGAGAGGGCGAGAGAGAGAGGGAGAGAGCAAAAGCCCAGAGTAATCAATTAGTAAGCCAAGAAAACGGGGAAAACAGAAAGCAGAAAACAGAAGGAGTAGATAAAACGCAATCCAAGAGGAGGAAGCGCCGCGCCAGAGAGACAGGGAGCGAGAGAGAGCGAGGCAGCAGCAGCAGCAGCATCATCATCAGTGGCAGCAATGGACTCGGATAATGACAATGATTTCTGCGACAATGTCGATTCGGGCAACGTCTCCTCGGGCGACGACGGCGACGATGACTTCGGCATGGAGGTGGACATGCCCAGTTCGGCTGAGCGCCAGCTGGACACCGATGATTACCAGTACAAGGTGCTCACCACCGACGAGATTGTCCAGCATCAGCGGGAGATCATTGACGATGTCAATCTGCTGTTGAAGGTGAGTGGCGTTTCCTTGTCCCGTTTTTCCGCTTTCCCTGGCACCCATGTACCCTCTGCAGACTGCATGTGCATTTGTTCTTGTCTGTGTATGACGTTGATGGCCATCCATACCCCCCTCCTTGTGCACCACCCCCCCACCCTGCATTCACTCAGCGTTTTGCCTGGGATCTGGGATAAAACTGAAGGTCATCCGCCGATGTTGAAAGCTTCTTTTTTTTTTTTTTTTTTTGGGCAAGGGGAAACTCGGCACAAGGTCGCCACATCCGCATCCACAACAACCCATATCCCCCACATTCGCCCCACATGCAGGTCCTCTTTTCACTTTCACCGATTTTTGGTTGACTTCCAAGAACTTGTGGGGTAATATAGGGTTAAATGGGGAAAACGTCAAAACAAATACTTTTCTTTTGTCTTGTTTAAAGAATCTGCAAATTTGCATTTGAAATGTTAATTTCAACACTAATTTTAGGGCTAAAGCAAATGCTAAAAATAATGTTAATGCTAACATAAAAACAATCTTAGTTATGTTATTTATTATGTTAAAGCTCAAGTGTCTTAAATATTCATGTTGGCCAATGTTAAATGTTTTATTTTTATTTTAATGAAATATCTATATTTTTTAGGCTAACCTAAATTTCAGTGCAACTTGTACTAGTAATACTCTTTTTGTTAATAATGTTTAAACATATTTTAATAATATTTTAATAATTTTCATAGTTTTTTTGGCTCAACTAATAATTTAAACCATGTAAAAATATAGCAAAAGTTGGAATCATTTCCAAGGTCTATCCTATCCGCTTTCACATCCGCAAAGAGATCCGCTGGGCGGCGGGGCGGGTTCACTCTATTTTGCAAGTGTGCCTCAGCCTCAGCTGCTTGCTGATCGTTAATGAATTGGCATTGATCCCGAGGCCAATTAGGACGCAGCTGATGATAACCCACCACCACTTTTCCGCCCCCCCGGCTGTCTTCGAGCCTCTTAAAGTCGTATGTAAACCATTTATATGCTTTGATTTGTTCACAGCTTCCCACGCCCATAACGAGGATACTGCTTAATCACTTCAAATGGGACAAGGAGAAGCTGCTCGAGAAGTATTTCGACGAGCCCCCAGAGGAGTTCTTCAAATGCGCACACGTCATAAATCCCTTCAACACGGCCACCGAAGCGGTCAGACAAAGGGTGAGCCAAAGCTGAAGCCCTAATCCCAATCCCTTGTTTATTATATTTTTCCATTTTCCATTGCAGACCATACGAAGTCAGTGCGAAGAGTGCGAAATATGCTTCTGTCATCTACTGCCAGATGTAAGTGCCTCCAAAAATAAGATTTCTGCTGAATTAAGGCTGTCCATTACCTAATTCTTGGATAGTAAAGATGTCGTTACTCATCTTGTTATTATAAGGCATTTGCCAGTACAATATGTGAGAAAATACGTATGGCGTTACTCATCTTATCATACATACATATATGTAATTCCTTATCACAGAGCTGAAATCATTTTTAACCCAGAGAATTTTTCTTTAGAAATTCATTTTCTATGCAAATCTTAGCAATATTTTAGAAGCTTGATTTACAATTTATGATTATTTTTTGTATTTAATGCTATTTTGCCAGCCAAATTCGGGATATTTCATAGATCACAGAAAGATCAGCCTAGTTTTTTGTGGGAAATCAACATTACTTACTTTAATGGTGTCCCCAATTTGTTTAAAATCCATTTAATACCTCATCCCAACTTCATTTTCTTTTCCAGCGCATGACCGGCCTGGAGTGCGGTCATCGATTCTGCATGTCCTGCTGGCGCGAGTATCTGACAACGAAGATCGTGGCGGAGGGTCTTGGCCAGACCATCTCGTGCGCGGCGCACGGCTGTGATATACTGGTTGACGATGTGACCGTTACCAAACTGGTGGTGGATCCCCGTGTGCGGGTCAAATACCAGCAGCTGATCACCAACAGCTTTGTGGAATGCAATCAGCTGCTACGCTGGTGTCCGTCCGTCGACTGCACCTATGCGGTTAAGGTGCCGTATGCGGAACCGCGTCGCGTTCACTGCAAATGCGGTCATGTATTTTGCTTTGCCTGCGGCGAAAACTGGCACGATCCGGTCAAGTGCCGTTGGCTTAAGAAATGGATCAAGAAGTGTGACGACGACTCAGAGACGTCCAATTGGATTGCGGCCAATACCAAAGAGTGTCCCAAGTGCAGTGTGACCATTGAGAAGGACGGCGGCTGCAATCATATGGTGTGCAAGAATCAGAACTGCAAGAATGAGTTCTGTTGGGTCTGCCTTGGCTCCTGGGAGCCGCATGGCTCATCCTGGTACAACTGTAACCGCTACGATGAGGATGAGGCCAAGACGGCTCGTGATGCCCAGGAGAAGTTGCGATCATCGCTGGCCAGGTGAGTGCTATCGGATGAAAAGAGGGAATCCCAATCTTTTGATGACATGCTAAATCTATATATACGTAGTTTCCAGCTGATTTTCTTTTATTTGCTTACTCACCTACTTACGATTGCTGGTTTTATCTGCTAATTGGCATTAAAAGTGATAACAAATATGAACCTCTCGAAGGGGGTGACAAAGTCAATGAATCAGCGATTATTTGTCAACCAAAGAAAGCATATTTATCGCATATTTATAATCTTAATTTTTGTTTTTAAATCGCAGATATCTCCACTACTACAATCGCTACATGAACCACATGCAATCGATGAAGTTTGAGAACAAATTGTATGCCTGCGTAAAGCAAAAAATGGAGGAGATGCAGCAGCACAACATGTCCTGGATTGAGGTAAGTCTAGCGAGAAGAAATAAACCAAGCAACCAGCTAACTTTACCTTTTTCCTTTTTGCCAATTTAAGGTGCAATTTCTGAAAAAGGCTGTCGACATACTTTGCCAGTGCCGTCAGACACTCATGTACACATACGTATTTGCGTATTATTTGAAAAAGAACAATCAGTCGATGATATTCGAGGATAATCAAAAGGATTTGGAGTCGGCAACCGAAACGTTGTCCGAGTATTTGGAACGTGAAATAACATCCGAGAACTTGGCTGATATTAAGCAGAAAGTGCAAGATAAATACAGGTGAGTGAGAAGGGTTAAAGTAAACAAAAATAAAATTAAAAAATTAATTTATAATTCAACTTTTGCAGGTATTGTGAAAAGCGCTGCTCTGTTCTGCTAAAGCATGTGCACGAGGGCTACGACACGGACTGGTGGGACTACACAGAATGACGCGAGTCATGGCTGGATAACTAAGCAAAGCTAAAGCTATGCTAAGCGCATTAGGCAGGGCAGATCAAAAGCAGAGCACGCAGCACCACCTACCATTTCACTTTTAATCTATGGAGCTGGGAAAGCATCAATGTTTGTGGGCGTTGACCTCGAAAACCTGGATGTTTTTCCAGCTCTATACAACACCATCCCCATCTCCCCCTCACCTCCCCCCAAACTGAAGCCGAAGATGTATAGAACAGAACAGAAGTTGAGGATAATGAAGAAAGCTGATGCTAAAAATGTTATGGAAAAAGGCAAGCAAGAAGAGGAAGCTCCTGCAATACAATAAAGCAACAGATACGGAAACAAATGAAAATCATTGCAAAATATTTGTGAAATTCTCGAGAGAAATTATATTAAAACGTAATTTATATATATATATATAATTATATATATATATGTGGAGAATTAAAATATACATATATATAGATATATATATGCGTATAGGTATGCGCATAGTGTAAACTACAATTTTTTCTTCGTAACGAGAGCAGCAGGACATACAACACACACACACACACACTCACACTCACCAGCAGTCACAAGGATCAGAAGCAACAGCAGCAGCAGCATATATATATAGTAAATAATCAACAGTTACAAACTTATTTGATGTTAACCAATTGCAAAGAGATCTTCATGTTATCAAAATCGAAAAAAAAAAAAAAAAAACAATTGAAAAAAAAAAACAAACTATAAATTAGTGAATTTCAAGCTCCAAGAACGTGGAACCAACAATAGAACTAGAGGTTTACGCCGATGGTTAAAGGCATCGGCGGCGGCGTAGAGGTCAAAATGACTCGGCGGCGGCGGCGTAGTAGTCAGAAAGAACCGGCGGCGGCGGCGCGTCAAATAAGGCAAAAAGGCCATTTTAATGAGTTATTTATTTTTTTTAAGTTTTATAAAGAACAATGACACTGAAGGCCGCGCTGAAGCTGCGCCGATGCCGCACCAGCGGCGCGCCGCGGCGCGCCGTTATTTTCATAATTTGGCGGCGGCGCGTCAAATAAGGCAAAAATCGGCGGCGGCGGCGGCGTGGCGCGGCGGCGTATATGTCTAAATAGAACCTAAATGTAAGCAGAAAAAAACCTGCCCAGCTTCAGCCAACCTTCCACCTGACTGACTTCCTCACTTCCTGACTTTCTTAGCTTCCTCTCTCAGTTAGTGCAGCCTCTCATTTCCGAGAAACAATTATATTTCTATTTTTTATTTTATTCTTTTTTTTTTATATATAAAAAAGTCCACTTTTACCTTAATTTATTTTTAAATTAGTCTTAAAACGAAAAAAAAAACCTGATAATCGGAATTGGAAGCGGAAACTGGGACAGGACATTGTGATGATAGGCCTTTAGTTAAAATCTCAGTCTTGATCCCAACTCGAGTTCAAATTCTTCCAGTTTGTTAAGCTTTTTAATATAGAAACTAATTGGTCCCTTTGTTCAAATAAAAAAAAAAACTGTGCCTAGCAAGTTCGAGGAAGCTACGTTTTCGTGTGATTTAGCTCACCTTTTAGTTTGTAGAACTCCTCCCCCTGCCCTGCCCCTGCCCCTCCAGAGAATAATATTGTAAATGTTAGATGGATAGCGCTGAACCCTGCTCTCTCCCGCTAAACCGCAGCACAAATCCAACAGAGACACACTGAGATAGATATAGATAAGGGCGTCTATACCATAAAGCAAAAACCTTGTAATAATAAGATGCGTAGCGCCAAAGTTAAGAGCGTAAAAATGGCTATTCAAGAGAAGCCTAGCGCTACTCATCTTGTTATTATAATGCTTTTGATGTTTAAGCAAAGGAATGTAGAGTTAACGCGTAGCGCTGGAGGGAGGAGAGTCGGATGCGGATGTCCTCTAGTTGGCGGCAAATCGTTGTACATAAGAGAACAGTTTTTGTCCATGGTTTCCTAGCCCGCCCGCAGAAAAACACACACACACACAACAAACACACACACACAATACGAAGGCGTTTCCATTTTCAGCATTCTCTATATATTCTCAACAACAATAATTAACAAAGAAAAAACAAAAAACAGAAACGGAAACGGAAATATATTTATAATAAATATGACTAAATGGAAAACTCATTGAAATTAAATTGATGTAAAAAGTTTAAAGTTGTTCGAATTGATAGAAAACAAACAAACAAAAAAACTGAAAAATACCAATAATGTGGAATAAAAAGATATTTAACAAAAAAATAAAAAAAAAGCTGTAAAAAATATGAGAAACTATGTATGTATAATTAAAGATGAAATGTTGCAAGAATTAGTGAAAATAAAAACTTGAAAAATCTATAAATTTTGGATGTGTTTCTATGTGGGCCAGAGATAAGTGACAAATTCTCAAGGTTATTTGCATAAAATCTTGGAACCGAATTAGGATTAATAGCTTGCATACTTTGGAGGTTCCATGGTTGGCTAGGAAAACATAACCTACTTTTGGGGGTCTTACAAAATTCCAAGATTAACTACAATTTAGTTTGGAATTTTTTAAACTAAAAAATCACATTTTAAATATATTTTTTTTACCACATATTGCAAGTAAATTATATAATCGATTTCTATTTATTGTAAATAATCGTAAATTATAGAATCGATTTATATATAAGAATAAATATATATTTTTAATATATTAAAAACGTCCTTTTAATATATTTTTATTTTATGTAAATGATATATATATATATATATATATTTTTTTTTTAATATTTAGAAACATTTATATGAATGAACACCCCTAAAAAACACCTTGCCCCTCCATAATCCTTTTTTTTTTTTTGTAACCCAAAATAAAAACACAATTTGAAATTTATATTTCTTGGTTTGTCGTTTTTTGTATTTTTATTATTATAATTTTTATTAATATTGTTATTTCATCTGACTTTGTCCGCTTTGTTGCGTTAGGGTTACTCATTAATTTCGTTAATTTCGTACAATGGCTATTTTAAACCGTGCCTATTTTGTAATCCGTTTTCTTTTTCTTGTTTTTTTTAGGTATTTTTGTTTCTTATTTAGTTTAGTTTTGCTACACCACACACATACATAAATAAAAACTTAAACAGATTTACTGCACACACATTTTCTTGTATTTTTTATTCAATACACCTTCTTGTCTACAAAAAAAAAAAAATGTTTCGAATTTGTTTTTTTTTTTTAATATTATTGAAGCCTAGCCCGGAAGCCATTTCCCATTTCGATGCAGCTCAGCTTGGGTTTGGATCCAGAATTGATCGGTGATCCCGATAAGATAAGATCTTGGACTCGGAGGGAGAGGGGGGTGGGGTTAGGAAGGATCACATGGCTCGAAATGGGAACTGGGACCAGGATCAAGCCACGTATATTTATTTTTATGTATATATATATATAGATATCATTCGCTTTTAGAATCGCTCAAGTGTTCAACATTGCATAACATGTATGTAGTTTGCTATTCTCCTTACTTGACCCTTTGTTCTGTTTTCCTTTTCCTTTTCTTTTTAATTTATTTTTTTTTATATAAAATCCTTGACTGGCCTTCTCTCTCAATGGAATTTGTATAGGTTTCTATATATTTCGTATCCGTACTTTTGCTCGGCTCGTTAGTTAGTTAGTTGAGGTTGGAGTTGAAACCAACTTAAACTTATCTTTTCCCCCTCTCTGAATTGGTTTTAACTTTAAATAATTAATTACAACAACATTTACTTGGGTTTTCACTTGTCCTCTGACTCTTCCCCCTTTCTCTATTTGCATTTTGTTTTATGTTATTTTTTCCCATTATTTTACAGTGCTACATTTCGTCTTTCTTTTGAATTTGTTTTTAACAATTTCGCTCGTGGTGTGGCTTTGCTAAGTTGATTCTCCTAACAATCTCCTTCTTTCATTTGTTTTCCTTTTCCTTTTTTGTTTGTTTTTTGTTTTTGGCAATGACTTACTGATTTTGTTGTTTCGCTTCTTTATTATTATTATTTTTTAGTTTTGCTTTGCTTTCGCTCTCATGCATTCATTCGATTTGTTAAAAATAATTGTATTAAGTACGCTTCGATTTATAATTTATGTGTATGTATTTATATCCGTATAGTATATATTTATATAAAGTAAATAGATTACGTAATTGCAACACTTGCATCTGCATCGGAATCTGAATCTGGTTCCAGTAACTTCTTCTGGTTTTTGTATTTGAATTGGTTTTATGTTCGGTGATCGGTTTTTTTCGGACTGTTTTTTTTGACTCTGTACCTTTTAATAACAATATGCATAACATCTAATGAAGGCTCATGAGTTGGCTTAAAGCTTTCTTCAAATTTTGTTCAAGCATTCTAAATCTGTGCGCCCACAAACGCATATTCAATTTTTTGATTTTTAGACGTTATGCATCTTGATTATTACTAGGTCTTTGATACTAATATTACGCTTTTGTTTTTCAGGGCACACAACTACATCATTAATTTACAAATTCAATTAAGGAAATTTAAGTTTAAAATTAAGATTAATAAAAAAACAAACGTTTACAATATGCATTTGCAAGGTGGTTGCAGGCAGGTAAACGATAATAATAATTATAATAATTAATATAATAATAAAATATTAATTAATAATTAATATACTAAAAACATATTAATTAATAATTGATATACTAAAAACATATTAATTAATAATTAATATACTAAAAATATATTAATTAATAATTAAAATATTATTATTTTGGGGCTCATCGAACATATTGAGTTTTGTGAACATACATTAGGAGGTTTTTCGCTTTCTCGACAAAAAAAAAAAAAACAATTCGCGGGGACAACAAACAGGGTTTAAAAACGCTCTTCCTTCGCTCTAAGACTAAAATGCACAATGCAACGAATAGCATAAATATATATATATATATTATATATTATATTATATTGGAGTGTAGGATGTGGTAGTGGTAGTGGTGGTGGGGGGAGTTGCTGCCAAACTGGACTGGACGGGAGACGGGCCTCGATCCTGCTCTCTCTCACCGCTTGATGGCTCAATTGAAAATTGTATTTACAAAGATTTGGGGCTGGGTGTGGGCCTGGGTGTAGGTGCATTGCCCGACATGGGCACTCCATCATTATGACTCGTCGCGATTGTTGTGCACCCACTGGGCGGGCACCCATTGCGGCTCCCGCTCCAGCGAATTGATCTCGGCCAGCAGTTGATGGTAGGCACGCTCTGTGTCATTGTTGATGATGATCATGTCAAAGAGATGACCCCAACGGGCCTCCATATCCCTGGCCGTGGCAATAATGTCTTTGAGCTCTTCCTCCTGTCACGGATAATAGATATTAATTACTTTATTTGAAATTTAATCGCGTTTTAAAAGACTCACCTTAACGGGCTCCCCGTTGCGTAGTTTCTTCTGGCGCAGCTTGTCCAGGCTGGGTGGCGCCACTAGCACCACATACGGCTTGAGGTCGGAGGCGCGCAGCAGCTTCAGGCTCTGCGGATGCAGGTTGAGCACACAGATCTTGCCGCTGGCCACCACAGTGCGTATGGCCTCCAGTGATGTGCCTGCCAGAGAGGTGGATTGTTAGTTCCCCATTCCTTCATCTCAATTCCTATCCAAAACTCACCATAGTAGGCCTTCTCGTATTCGCCATGCTCTACAAAGCGACGCGCCAGGATGTCCGCCTCGAAGGCCTGGCGTGTGATGAAGTGGTAGTCCACGCCGGGCACCTCGCCCTCTCTGCGAGCTCGTGAAGTGTCTGCGAAAAATAAATGGGAAAATAGTTCATTTTTGGCCTTTCTCCTTGAGTTTTAAAGTTTGGGTTTGGGTTTTCGGGTTTTGGGGTTTTGGGGGCTTAACTAGCAATGGCTCTGGGACTCGGACTCGGACTCTGAAGCGCAGCCATTACCCTTGACCTGAGCCTTGGCCTTGGCCGGCTTGAGATGCTCCTCCAGCAAGTAGAAGACTGCCCGGCAGTTGGTTTACAGACAGAGACAGAGACAGAGAAAGGTTAGAGACAGAGGCGCCTTGTCTTAACCCTCTAAGACCCAAAAGTGCCTTGAGGTTAAGAGCGACTCACTTCCTCAATGAGTGGGAGGAAGATGACCAAGCAGACTTAGAGATACAGAGAGAGAAAGAGGAAGAAGGGAACCCTTTACTTACGTGGCACGGCGGCAGAGAATCGCTCAGAATCAGCCATCAGCCGCTGGCGCAGCTCATGCCTTCCAATGTTGGGCGGACCAATAAGGACAATGGGCCGCTTGTGGGTGGCGCGGGGATAATACAGGGCCACCTCCTCGTAGGTGAGTATCTCCTCTGGATCCGTTTCGTCCGGGGCTGTGGTGGCATACAAGGGATAACTGGAAGGAAGAGGGAGTCGATTATAGATTCTTTTATCATTTCTGGGAAATGTAATCCAATCCTTACCCCGCCTCTGAGCTGGCCTTCTTCTTCTTCTTGCGCCCCTTGCGAGCACAGAGCAGGGTGGCCCCCTTGCTACCAGATCCATCCTTGCCCCTTGATCTGGCCAATCCCGCCTCCTCGGCTATGGCCAGCTTCATGGTCTCACGCTGATGCTGAAACGACTGACTAGGTATGAGGCCGGCCAGTGTTTGGTCCTCCTCGCCCTCCCTATACGCCTGCCACCAGTTGGGATCCTCACGGCTGATCACATGCAGGACATCACCCTTCTGGAAGCTAATGCCCAGTTCCCTACACGGTATATACAGGTCATCCTCCGGATCGTAGTCAAAGTGTGCCCGCACATGAAGTACGGCTGTGTCACGATGCGCTCCACCCAAGCCAGCTAACGCATTGCTGCCAATGCCACCGCCAACAACTCCACCACCACTGCCTCCGCCCAGCATGCCAACGCCTCCGGGTGGACAGCCAGCTGGGACAATCAGGAAGGTTAGGGTGCCCTGCATGGCACCCAGCAGGGCGCACACCTCGTTCACCGTCTTGCCGCGCAGCTCCTGGCCATTGACCTCGAGAATCTCGTCGCCCTCGTGCAGCAGGCCGGACTTTTCCGCCGCCCCGCCACGCACAATGCGACCAATGACCACCGCCTCGCCCTCGTTGCGTACGGTGGCGCCCAGCGGTTCCGTTGACTTCTCAATCTGTATGATCCGAATGTTATCGTTCTGATCGTTCAGAGTGCCAAAGCAGGCGCTCATCGGCAGAGACATGGTGGGCATCTGCATGGGAACGGGCGGCGGTGACTCGCCACGTGGCAATGGCATTGCTCCGCGCTGAGCCAGCGGCGATGGCACAACAGGTGGTGCCACTACCATGCCCAGTGTTCGTTTTGGCGCAGCCACAGGACTACTGTGCCCGCTAAGAGTGGTGACTCCTCCAGCCCCCGAAGCTGTGGCCGGTGTAGGCGTGGGTGTTGGCGAGGGAGTGCCGTCCGTGTGATTGGCTATCCGGTCGTGGGCCAACAGTAGACCCTCCATCTCATGGCTGGTCAGCAAGTTGCCAAGCTCGATGGCCGCCGCTGTGTTTGACTGCGTCAGCAGTTCCACAATGTCCTTTTGCAGACCCAGCGAGCTGTGGTGCAAAGGACCAGAGACGCGGGAACGCCGCCTTTGCAGGACGGCAGTGCGAGCGGCCAGGACATGGGCCACACTGGCACTGGCCAGAACGCTGTGGGCGGTGGAGACGCGACTTGCCAGGGCATTTAGGCCACTCTTGGTCAGCTGGCTCTGCAGGCGGGTGAGGGCCGCTATCAGTTCGCCATAACCTGGAGAGGATTGGGTTATAAATTCATTTAAGTAAAAAATTATGGACTTTAAAATATAATAAATATATAAATAAATAGTTTAATAATTAATAAATATATACAAATAAATATAAATAAATATATTTTAGCTATTTGGACTCACCATCGATCTGTTCTGGCTGCGGCTGGTCATCATCGGGCAGGTACGCCTCATTCTCAACGCCCACCTGGGTGGCCTGCGTCACCTGCTGCTGCTGCTGCTGGGCCACCACCTTGCCAAGCGTGGCCGTGTCCTGCAATGCCTTGAGCTTCCTAGAGCCGCGCAGGCTGTTCCGCAGGAACTCATTTTGCTGAGCGATGCGCTCCTCCTCCTCGCGTCGACGGCGTAGTTGCTCCTGCGGATGAAAGGATTGAGTAAGGCGGTTAGACGGATTCGATTTGAGGGGGAAAGAGGGGGGGCGGGACAAAATGTAACGATAACTGTAACTGGGCGTTGACTCTTAAGTGGCGCACTTAATCCGCATTCGCCACAATCGCGCTAATTTAATTAGTGGCGCCCGGACCAGGGGCCACAGATTCGCACAAAGAAGGCAAACAAGGCTTAGGTGATCGACGGACGGTGTACCCTGTTATAGTAATTTATAGTAATTATATTTGTTTATCAATAAGCAATGTTATTTTTGTATTTTGTATTCTATCTAACCCTTTTGATATATTTTCCAGCATTATGCTTACAGTACAAGATTATCCTCGATCTTCAAGGTTCTAGATTATCCACTGGCAGGGTTTATACAGGGTATGCATTCAGCTGCAGTTGTGTCCCAGAACGCGTCAGGTGCGGGGGGCAGGTGGAAATGGTAAGTGGTCAGTGGGCGGTGGTTTGCTGTGCAAACCCAAGCAAATCCCGTCGAGGGCCTCGGCGATGAGTTAATGAGCGTAAAGGGTTGACAAAGGCGACTGGGGGATAGTGGCAACAGAGGTGAACAGAGACTGAGACTAAGACTGAGGCTGAGAGGTGGGCGGTAACTGTTGCAATTGTTGCGGAAGCCCCCTAAGTGATTACCGTTCATCGGTGGGGCGTGGGGCGTGGGGCAAATTGGGCCATTGAGTTCAGTCCAATGATTGTCAAACTGAATGCGTCGCCGCCACCACACCATCACCACCGTAATTAGGATAATGTTATTCATGAAAATGGCCCAAAACGTGATAAATTCTCGATTCCGTGACCATCAAAAGCGTTAAAAAAAGAATGAAATCAAATCGATGACAACAATGCTCAAGAGTTCCCACTACAAAATAATAATAAAGAACAAAAAAAAAACCAAGAACGGCCACAGAAAAAAAAAACTTAATTGAATAACAACAGAAAAGACGCTCGACATTCCAAAAGGCGGAAGCAGCAAAGCAAAGAGCACAAGAGGAAAATAACAATAGCAAAGCAACTAAAAAAAAGAGAAGAAAATAAAATAAAATATAAAAAAAATGCTGCTGAACTTGCATAATCCGATGCCAGCAAAAAGAATCAGCAGAAAAAATTTCACGAGCTGTCAAGGCGGCGAGGTGAGTGAGGCAAAGAGGGAGCTCGGAGCTTGGACTGAGAAATACCATCCAATAATACCACCTCCCTCGGCAAGCAGACAAGCGGGGAAGCCGAGAAAACGCCATGGCATGTGAACCAAAAAACTGAATTTAACATTGAAACCTGAATGAAAAACGATGACAACCGGCGGCCACCGCACGGAACAAAAACATTTCTGAAAGAGCAAAAGCAAAACAAAATAGCTCAAAGTCACAGCATCGCAAAAAATTACAAAAAAAATAAGTAAACTCTAAAGTAAAAAAATATCTTAAAGATAGTACAGTTTGGCAGTCACTAGCTGTAAATCCTCTAAAACTGTCAAGAATATCTCCTAAGTATTTATTACTTTTTTTTTTTGGCAAAAACTGGAAGAATTTTTGTGAGAAAAAGCTGGGAATTCCCTAGTCACTAATTAAATTTTATAGCAGCCTAAAAAACCAGTTTAAAATTAAAACAAAATTAAAATATTGCCAAGTTGAAGAAAATAAAAATGCAAATGCATTTTAAGGAATTTCTAGCTGACAGCTTCATTTGTGAAAGAAACCGAATATAAGCTGATTTTTTGCGGCATGAAAGAAGTTAATATAAAAATTTAAAAATATAGTTTTTAAACCTTAATTTTGGCTGGAAACTTAGCTTATATTCTGCTGAAAATAATACAAATTCTGGGATCTTGGCAAGGTGTCTTTTAAGGGTTATCCCACCTTCAAGAAAAGATCGAATTCAACCTAAACAGTTGGCTTTTTGGCAGCTAAAGAAATTACAAAAGCCTCATCATAACAGCCCAACTCCCACGACATACTTGTAAATAGATAATATTTATACATATATAGACATTCGTAGATCTCAAATCAAGCCCAAAGTCTGCTGCGTAGCCTTTGCCTTTAACGAGACCATCAATCATCGTACACGCCACAACCGAGAAAACAGTAACCTTAAGTAATTGTAAAATAATATTAAGTAAAAAAGCAAGAAAAAAAGTGATATTGGGTAAGCCAAAGTTGGCATACTCTTGCAGTTTGCAATGAAATAATTAAAAATCAATCTTAAGTATTTTTGGTAAAAAGAAAGTCAAAATTAACAGGAGTTTTTCAATTAATTCAAGTTTAATTCAATTAAATTTTAAATAATAAGATCTATATATCAGGGTTTAAATATATATATTAGAAAATCAAGATATTACATTTGCAAGCCTGTAAGCTATATATATTCTTGATCAGCAGTAGTATATTAAGTAAAATAATAAACAAAAACCGAGAAGGCAACAGCAAACAGCATGACATCACCATCCTCATCGTCGGCATAAGTAAATAACGAAAAATGCGCGTACCAGGGAAATTAAAAATATATTACTACCGTCGATGATACCCTTAGTTGGGGTATGATGAACTAGAAATGCATATCAAATATCAGAGAATAATTTTGTCTATTATACTATAATGAAGAGGTGTTGTTTTAGCATTTAAAATTGTATATAATAATACAAAAACTATCGATATATTCGATACATAGCATAATATATCGAAAATATTGTGGAATATTTCCATAGATAGAATGGGTAGCTTTTCCTACTGTTTATGAAATGAAATGTATTGAATATCTTTTGGTTCAGAAATTTCCTTGCTGATTTAGATGACAATCGATGACATTTCGATATTTTAATTAATAAATATATATTTCAAATATATCGATTATTTCATTATTTTATGTATTCCTTTATATCTTATTCATTTATCGATTCTTTTACTTATCGACCTAGAGTGTTTAGTTTTTCTTAATTACTAAAAATCGAAGAACACAAAATCCCACTACTATCGCCCAGGTAAATTGTTATTGCCTTATTTGTTATTTCGTTTCGTTACGTTTCGTTTCTAATTTTTATGGCTCGACCGGCAGCCAGTTAGCCAAGTTGTCAACTGGCTGGTATTGGTGCGCTGCTTTTGTTGTTAGCATATATGCAGATAAAGCCAGTTGTGGCTGCCCGCAGCAGTAAAACGACAATGTTGCTGCCTTTAGAAGTAAATATAAATACATTCACATACAAATATATTTTTATATATTTTTTATAAAAAATATTTGTAAGAATACTGACTTATTTCAGTTCAGACATTGTTTACCATTTGCATTCACACTTGCAAATATTGTTTAAAAAATTCAGAGAGAGATAAAATGAAATATGAAATTCCTCAAGGATTTGTGGGGCATCCTTATATTCCCAAAAAAAACTTGCCTGTTGTTGTCGCAAACGTGTCGAGGACCTTTGGATTTGTATACCCCGACGGAGGGCCGAGGCGCTGCGCTGCGGCGTGGCAGCCGAGGAGGCGATGGATCCCGCTGGGGATCCTTGAAATTGCTCTAGTGATCCTCCACCAATCACTGCCACGCCCATGCCATTGCCATTCATATCACAATAATCGCTGTTATTATTGTTGTTGATGTGGTTCTCCTTGTCATTCTGTTGCTGCTGCTGGAGTTGCAGTTGTAGTTGCTGTTGCAGTTGCAATTGCTGGACGGAGAGTACCGCAAATTTGGTGGGTGTTGCTGTTGCTGTTGCCGTTGGTGTAGGTGTTGGTGTGGGGTTTTCTGTTGTTGCAGCACCAAGATTAGCCGTTGGACCAGGACTACCATTGTTCTCCAGGGTAATATGCAGCGTGGACACTACCATTTTCCCCAATTGCAGCTGGCTGCTGTTGCTTATATCACTTTCATCGACAATCTTTACTAAAGGAAAACCGAATCTTGTCACCAGCTGCTACAGAGCCACGCCCACAAAAAAAATAAAAGCACAAACACACACCAAACACACCTGGGCAGCGCATAAATTTGAATAGGGAATAGGGTATAAAGTGCTTTAAATGAAATGCAAGTTAATGCGCATTTTAACTGGAATTGGTGCTTGGACTGCTGTTGCATTGAATAAAAATCCATAAAAAAAAGCGAAAGTTGAGCTGGCCGAAATAGTTCTGGCCCAGAGACACGCATAGCCAGCAACATCAGCTTTCCCATTCAACAGCAACGCTGGCAATGCTCATGCAATTTACAACTATTTACTTTTACACATTTGTTTATTCGCTTTTTTTTCTGTTGTAAAGTTGTAGTTGTTTTTTGTTTATTTATGGCCTTTTTGTTATTGTTGATTGTTTCACTCTTTTAGGCGGCTATTGTTGCTGTCATACAACGCGGTCGGCATGGGGAATGAGCCTTATGGTCGCATTGCTGCTGCTGTTGACGCTGCATTTACGCTTGGCACATCAATAACAATAAGAAGCTCGAACACTCGTCACAACAATAAAAAAAAAAAACTAAAAAAATTCAACAAAAAAAGCAGTTCAGTTCACCTCAACTGTTTATCATTTATATAAACATTTTTCAGTTGCCTTTTGTGTGGGTTTTGCAGGCAAATTAAAGTCGGTGGACGGTGAGTCAGTGGCAAAGTCCAAGAGTTGAGGGCGATCACTGCCCAAGGGTTTGATAAAAACCACGCACAGATATCTATATAAACCTTTGCTGACACAATTGGTCTTTGGTTTAATTTTTCAGGAGACTTTCCAAGGACCAAGAAGATTTTTATTGTAATTCATAGAAGACAATCTTAAGAGATGTGGATCCTGCTTGTGATTCTTCTTAAGCTGATCACACTTTTTTGCCTTTAAGGAAGTTCTTTTGTTACAAGTTTCATCTTCCAAGGAAGCTCCTTTGAAATATGTTTAGATCTTGTTAATTTTATTTAAAGTTGTTTTATATTTCAAATGTTCAAACAAGCTTAGTTACTAATTTGGTAACACTTTGACCCAAGTCCTGGCCACACTGTAACACGTAATCCCTGGCAGCCCAAGTGCCTGATTTAAGCCACTTTTTTTTTGGGGGGTATTTCATTTATTTCACATATTTTCTGTGGCTTTTTTTTTTGCGGTTACGCGAACAACTTTCCGTTATGGCTGCAACTGCCACGCCTGTTTTCTGTGTATGTTTTTGCCATGTTTTTTATACATATATATGTATATCTTATATATATATATGTATATAAATCTTTTTCTTTTTGCTGCCCATAAACTGATGTTGTTTGTTACTTGGAAATGGTTGTACGTGCTTTTGGTTCCAGAATTTCAGCCGGCTATGGGCGTTTTTTTTTATTCAGCCGCGCCTTATTTGCATGGATCCAATTGCACAGGCACACACACTCTTCCGCACACACGCACAAATTACAGGAAAAAAAATTTATAAATAAAACCTGGGTGCCTGTCAAACCTTTTTTGCAAATAACGAGAACTATTCTTCGAATAGAAACAAGTTTAAAACTGGCAGAAATGGAGATGCAATCCCCATTTATTCAGGTATTTTTTTGGACGGGGCTTCTGGGCTTTATCTTATCGGTGGTGTTGCCGTCACGCACTTGGCCCGAACCAAACCGAACAGAACGAAAATAAAGAAATATAAAAATTGCGGCCGATCGCAGAACGCGTAGAAAAACAACTAAAAACGCCAACTGAAAAATCATAACAAACCAGCGCCAAACGACGTCGGCAGAGGCAGGCAGCAGAGTGAGAGAGGGGCTCGGAGGTGAGAGGGAGTGTAGACCGGAGAGCGAAGAGCGCAGAGAACAGGTGAGCGAAAAGCTCCAGGTGCAACCACACACAAGTGCCGTGTGTGTGTGTGTAAGCCGGCTTGGAGAGACGAGTGCCGGAAAATGAAATGTTTAACTAATTTGCAAGCTTGTCAAGACAGAGGTGGGGCCCTTGGAGGTCTTAAGCAGGGGGGCGCAGGTGAGCTACCACCAAAGGGTTTACACTTTGATAAAAAAACAAAGTGGAAAAATTCGGATCTTTCAAAAAATATCAAAAATATTGAATAAATATCGAAAAGGAGAAGGAAATTATATATCGAATCATTATCGATAAACATTTAAACAATCCAGCAAAAAGAGGCCTATGAATAGTCCACACAATATGAACCAAAAGTGTAAGCATCATCGTAGGATTTTCATCCAAATATATCAAATACTATCGAAGATTTATCGAGAAAGCCTCAAAGGGGTATACAAAAATAGCAATTCTATATCGGTATAAAGTAATATGCACATTCCTATATATCCATCATTCAGATAATTTAACTAGCAATAAATACCGAAATGTTTCAAGTCATTAAAATTGTTGCCCAACTAAAATATTAAAAAACTTGGGTTACGATGGGGCATTAAAAAAAAAGATCATAAAAAAGGGGTGAAAAAACGGTGCTTTTAAAGGGGTTTATAATAAAAAAAAACAACAACCGCTGACAATGGCAACCGAGGAGTAGCAACCGCCCCCTTTGGACAGCAACAAACTAGTCGACAAACAATGCTGTCCAAACAAACAGGTTAAATTTAAACAATGTAGAACCTCGTTCCTCTTTCCTTTTCATATACAATATCTACGAGAGCAGTCGCCGATAGCGATAACGAAAGCGATAACAATTGTCAAACATGATAAATTATAATTATGACCAAGATAAAAGCCTTGAGGGGTCTTGTTATACTAAATAAATTTTAAAAAACTCTGATTTTAATCAGAAATCTAATTATTTCTGTTAAATAAACTATAAATATAACAATTTATCGAATCCAATTTATCGACTTGAAAGCCTTTTTATGAGAAAGTGAGAAGAATGACAGATGAAAAATAAATGTTTCTGGTTATTTTTAAACTCTAAACAAAACAAGCTAAAATTAATTTTTATAAAAATATCCAAACATCAACTTTATCGAAAAAATCGATCAATCGATTTTAGTCAAATGATTTGAAAAATATTTAATAAGAAACCGAAAACTAATTTTGTTATCCTGGCAATTTGCAAAATATATAATTTTGAATATATTAAAATTATATATTAAAATATTATATATTATATTATATAATTTTTTTCTTTTAGAAAATTTCAAAATAAAAACAGTTAACTAAGATCTTGGCTAGTCTCTGGTCTGTTAATTTTAAATTTTCACTTATTTGTGCGTTCCCATTAACCATTATCCGAAGAACGGCCTGTCGGTCGTTCGGTCGGTGGGTCGATTTTGAGCATTTTCCATTTGTGGCTTCGTTTTTGTTCTCTTAATGAGCTTACATCCATAATCAGCCGCACTAGTGAAATGGCTGTCAAACTGTGTGTGTGTGTGCTCAGCTTTCAATTAATTACATTTAGCAAATGCAGGGCGGGGGGGGGGGTCCACCACCAGCCACCTACCCCACCTCTACCCACTCTCGCTCTATTTACCACTCGACGTCCCTTGTTTGGCGTCTGTTGTCTGCGGGCGGAACGCAGCAATTCGATTAAAAGTTGCATAATTAATCATTGCATTAAACAAGTTTATGCCAGCGCCACCCTTAACGCCTACGGCTATTTTTTTGCTAAGCCCTCCCCCCTCACCACCCTCTGCTTCTATCCTCTGAATGAATTCAAAATGTTTTACTTTTAAACAGCATTATAATTCCCCTCCATCCCGCAGATCCCACCACGCGTGCAACGCATGTGTACTGTAGCCTCTCCGTTCTCCGTTACACAGGGAGAAAAAAAAAGTTTTAGATACAGTCGTATTTTTTACATTTTAATGGTTTCACCAGTTAAATGCAACGGTCAGCGGCGGGGCCATCAAATCGAACAAACAATTTCCCCCACTCTTTCTTTTCTTTTTTTTATTATTATTATTTTCCGACACAGTTTGGCAGTGCTCTTGGCGGCGACTCAGAGTCAGTGGTCAATGGCCAGCGCAAAGAGTTAACTAACAACAAAAAAGTCCAACAATAGAGCCAAACAAAAGAACTTGGCCCGAACCGGAAGCGTTGCCCCAGACGTCCATCAAAAAGCGTTTATTATGACAGCTACGGCGCATAGTTGGGGTTATGTAAGTACCTGCTTTGCATGCCAACCAGCTGCATTTCGAATTAAAGAAAAGACAATTCCACGCACATGGACACCTTGTTAAATTCTAGATTCTTGATACTCTTTGAAATATTTTCAAAATTTTGTAACTTGTAGCTTTGTAAGCTAACGAGAGGTCTTCAAAATTTGTGTGCCACCAAATTCGGACTTGGGAATTTTAAGCACATTCTGCGTTACAACTTTGAACTAAGCTCATCGTCATTATCATGAGGCTTAGCCGTAATATAGCTCTCAAATCCACAGCTACACAGTTTGAAATTTCTCAAATTTCCATAGCCTAGCCCACAGGAGGTACATACTTTGAGAGTCACTTTGAAAGCCCCACTTAAAAGCTAACAACTCACCTGGTATTTCTTGATGCTGTCCAACTGCTCCAGCGTTGGCTCCACAATCTGGGCAATCTGTTGTTGTGGGTGCGAGTGCTGGAGCGGATGCTGATGCATATACGGCGGACCAGAGCTACTACCGCTGCTGGCATTACCCGGCGCCCGGCGGTCCGGCAATTGGGGGGCAGGTGAGCAGTTGACCAGGCGCCCGTCTTTCTCCACCCGCAGGTGATCCCTGGGCGGTGGCACAGGTTTTGCGTTCCCATTGAGCTTAAGGGAAGAAAAAAAGCAGAGAGCAGAAATTGAGGGGAAACCCATTAGCCATATATATACTATATAGTTTTTGTACATGAATATGTGTGTAAGTTGTGTCAGTGAGAGTGTGCCAGTGTGTGTGTGTGTGTGTGTGTGTGCATGGCTGATGGCTGCTGGTCATTAAAGTTGAATGAGTTTGTTGGCGAGTGTTCCGGTGCATTCTCCCGCCAGAAGCCCCCCAGCATTAAGTGTGAAAGTGTAAGTGGAACGAACCTTCACCTAACCATCGCAGTGGCGTATTCAAAAGGGGGATATTTTCAGGGGACTTGATTTATATATTTTTTTCATAATGGTGTCTAAAATTAAGAGTCAGTTTTTAAATGATCTTAATTAGTTTTCAGTTAATCGAATGAAGGTAGATTATATATTTTGTGCTGTTTGCTAATGATATTGTTGATATTGATGTTATGTTGAGTACAGGGTATATGATTTATTATTATTATTTTTGTAAAATTATAATTCCAAAATAATTTTAAGAATTTTTGGACTTGGTTTTTGATTGGTTTTCTAGACTTGCATTACCTTTTATTACTTTATACTCCCAGTTTTTGGTTAAAACTCCCCCCGAAACCCCTCTCTCTACACCTCTGCCTCTTTTTATAACCCTTTTTGGTGTCATTTACTTGGCACAAGGATTGAATACTGGCCGTAAATAAATGCATTTACTCTTTGATTCATTTTATACACAAACCCAGGGAGAACAGGAGCCCAGCAGCAGACCCAACACTGTTAGTTTGTTGTGCTTCGTATTAAAGAATATGGAAATGGGGGAAAGAAAGGCGCTCATTTTGCTTTTGTTTCCGCTGCCATCGGAAAATTAATCGAGAGCAATTTCATATAAATGGAATTTATTTCTCATTGCCTGAAAAGAGCCCCATGAGGGGGTGGAGAGAGAGAGGAGAGAGAAAAGAGAGAGAAGAGAAGAGAGGGTGGCACTAGTGGGTGGCTAACCCAATGTTGTTAGGATTATGCCGCTAACGAGGCCAACGCTGCGGCTCTGATGCCGCGAATTAGGCCAAACGACTGAACAAGGTGACAAGCGAAAAAGGGGGCGCCAAAAACCCACCCACCCCCCACTTAAAAGCGGGTCAAAACTGGGGACTCTGACCTGCACTTGGCCAAAAGGAAGGGTATCAATGGGGGTTGCGTAAGGGGTTAAGTGTTCGGGGTGGTGGCGGCTGCATTAATTAGCCGAGTTGAGCGTAAAAAGCGCCCCGGAATTTGACGCAGCAGTCAGCGTTCGCTTTAATTATCGATCCATATTTGATGATACCTCCATCTCTACCACCTTGTGTTTCTGTTCAACTTCCGATCCCTATTGGCCATTCAATGTATTATTCATGGGGCACAATCGGAGTGCTATGTAGTTTCTATTAAGTCCTTATTGTATTGCATCCATCAATCGGTCTGTACGTAATTTACACAATTTCACAAATTATCTTGTTTTTTCTCAGCTCTTTTAAACTTTTTCGAGTATAATTTAATTAAAAACTGACAAATGCCTGGTAGTTAAAGCAATTATCTCAAGGGGGAAGTCTAACTCTGGGCAGCAATTGTGTTTTTTAGTTGGGCTTAATTTTAAGAAATATATTTTATGTGAAAATAATATTTTTTAGATTTGAATTCAAGGTTTTTTCTTTGTAGTTTCACAAAAAGACATTATAATGCTTAAGTTGCGTAACTGAGATTAGTTTTAAATTGACATTTCTTAGCATTTTGTTGAATAAATAATTATAAATTTAAATCTTATATAATGCACTTCCATAAGTGAAAACACACAGAACAAGAAAGTGCGTAAATATACGTACAGATCTAGAATGCTTGAGAATAAATCCTCTGGCTTTTTTTTCGGTGTCTTTTAAACAACATTATATGAAAGCTTACAGTTTAAAAATCATGAATTAAGTTAATAAATGAATAAAAATAATTTTTTGGCATTAGGCATCTTAAAACTTATATTGTCTTGGAGGTAAGGTTCTAATATATCCGAAAAATTCGTCTTTAAATTAAAACTTCTCTCCTCTGTAATCATCTCAAATAATATAACTATACATCTTTGCTTCTTTTGATCAGTTGCTGCAACACAACCCTCAAACAGGACACACACTTTATAGATGCTTATAGACTAAGATAAATAAAAGACAGATATCAAGGACTACGAAACATACAGAGAAGACAGAGTGAAACGGAGATAGAGGTAAAAAGTACAGAGAGTAGAGTCTCCAGTGGCGGAGTTGAGAAGAATATAAATGCATGTGGTATACCTCATCGGCCACCCTCTTCGTATCGCCGGTGCCTGCAACATGGGAAGTGTTACTAGCAGATGTTGCTGTGGCAACAGGGGACACGGACACGCCCAGCGAGGAGAGCGTGGTATGGGCGGTGGAGGCGCTGCCGTTGGAGAGCAGCGATCCACGCGAGGAGAGATGCGCTGGCGGTGGATATCTCGGCGGTACCTTCACCATTTCAATGAAACTGTCCGGCACATCCACGGGCAGCTCGCGATGCTTGGCCAAAGGTGGCAGCAACACCGCCACGGGAGCACCAGCTGTAGCTGTAGTTGGCTGTTGTTGCTGCTGCTGCTGTTGGCTCACCTCGTAGCCAGGTGGAGCCAAACTGAGGTCATCCGGCACCGTGGAGCTGCTGGTAACACTGACCATGTCCATGTTGCTGCTATTGCTGGTATGCATGGAGCTGTTGCTACTGTTAAGCGAGTTGCTGTTGCTGGTGGTAACCAGGGTCTGGCCGGGATTGTTTAGATTCCTGTTGCTGCTGCTATTGCTGCTGTTGGAGTTGGAATTGGTGTTGCTGCTGCTACTGCTGCTGTTTCCATTCGTGTTGTTGCTGTTGCTATTGCTATTGGTATTGCTGTTATTGCTGCTGCTGCTGTTGCCGTTGCTCGTGGCCTGATGCTGTTGCTGCAGGTGACGATAGGCGATGCTGCCGAAGGAGTCCAGGGTGTGTTTACTCATCACCTCGTCGAAGGCACTCGACGAGGGCGAGGCTGTGTCCTTGCGCTGATACAATCCTTCCAGAAAATCCTCCGTAAGACTACTGCTGTTGCTGCTGTTGATCATGAGGCTGTTGCTGTTGCCATTGGGATCGCTGCTTAGTGTTGCTTGCAATTTGTTGCTAGGCGTTTGCTGCTGGGCGATTTGTGTGGCTGTTGCCGATGCAGCTGTTGTTGTTGTTGTTGCAGTTGCAGTCACTAATTGTAATTGCTGTTGTTTCTGTTCGCTCAATTGTTGTTGTTGTTGTTGTGGTTGTTCCGATTGCAGGCAGTTTTCATAGTTTTCAATTTGTTCCAATTTATTTTGTTGTTTTTGATTGTACAAGTTTTGTGTGGCCACATCGAGTGAGAATGGTGTTGTTGATATTGTTGTTGAATTTGATGGTGAGTGTTGTTGATGTTGTTGTTGTAGTTGTAGTTGTTCATGTTGATGTGAAGAATGATATGCAACAATTAACAATTTTTTGTTAGCATGATCATTGTTAGTCATAGCTGATGGATAATGTTCATGTTGGTGGATGGTGGTGGTTTTGGTGTTGTTGTGCGTGGTGGTGTTCTTGGCTGTGCTTTTCGTGTGTTTCTGTGGTAATGGTATGAGGTGTGTGGTGTAGGTTTAGGATGTGTCGATGTTGTGGAATGAAGAGTATAGTTGTTGGTGAAGAGAAAATTCATGAATATGTGAATGGTTATTTTTGTTGTGGGGTTTAGTTAGCATTGTTAGCATGGGTTTTAGATTAATGGTAAATTCCCTAGGATTTCTAAGGTGGGTAAGTATATTATCTTAAATTATTTCGAGGTCTAAGGCTCTTTGGATATGACATTGTTAGTTAGTATATTTATATACATATATATTGATTGTTATTCACATTTGGTAGGTGGGTTCAATGGGGTATCTAGGGGTTTTCCAAAAGTCTAGGGGTTTTATTGGAACATCTAGTTACATGTTAGTTCGTTTTCTTCATATAAATTGTGGTTGGTATATTGAAGTTTGTAGTAGTAGGGTTTTTAAATAAAATATTGCTGGTTTTCGGCTCAGAATTCATTTTGGGTAGTTATGAGTTAAAGGATTCAATTTTTGGTAATAAGTATGTGAGGGCTAATTAACAAGCAGTTACAGAGTGTGTTTGGTTGGTTCATACTGTTGGCTTACGGACTCTGGATTATTGGTAGTCGTGCGATGGTGGATTATGGTGTACAGATTTGTGGCTTACCTGCGGTGGACGGGGTGGCGGATATCTGGGTGGCGTCTTGTTGCGTGCAATGAACGTGTCCGGACAGTCGACGGCCATTTCGCGGTGAGGACCTGCCGGAAAATGGATGGAAGTGGAATGTCAGTTCCCCAACTGTATTGAAGGGAAGAGAAATCTCCTCTTACCGTTATCTTGGTTCACGGACAGCATGGTCAGCATTTCCTGGTCAATCTCCCTGATGTCGCCCGAGTGCGTGCGATAGTGCTGATGCTGGAAGGGAGGATACTGCAGCGATTGCGGCAGCGGTTGTTGCTGCTGCTGGTGGACCTGATGGTGGTGCTGGCCGCTTATGTAGTCATCCGGCAGACATGGCTTTAGGTCGTCGCCGTCCAGGACAACGATGCTTGAACCAGAGCGCCGGCGATTCCTGTCAATCAAAAACAGAATCGAAAAGAGAATGAAAATGCCATTAGTTGAGGTTAAAGCAAAGATGTTTAAGGATTCTGTTTAAGACTTCAAAACTTGACTCATAATTATAATGTATTTTTATATTAAGTTCTAAAAAAAAAAGAACAGACTTTATAACTATTTAAAGCCCTCCTTGACAACGGAAGTGTGATATTAAAGTGTCGCTCGGTGCATATCCTTTGAGGGCCCTATTTCCTTGCTAATTGACAGCTTCCGTCGATTGCAGCGGCTTTGTGCCCAGGTGCAAGCAGCGGGCACAATTTTCCAGGCACAGCTCCATTATTATTTCAAAAAGTTATTCCCGCACAAAGGCCCAAGGGTGGCGAATGGATTAGGTATGGCTATGAGCTAAGAATAAATACATATATATATGTATATATATGCATAAGTACTAGGGGCAACTTGAAACTGGAACGCTACCGAAAACTTTGTTCTAACTTTGCACTTTTGCCTTTCTCTTTCATTATGAGAGGGTGAAATTGAGGTTTTTTGAAGGCAATTTGCGCCTTAATTTGTTCGGCTTTTGGATTATGGGCTTATGGTAGGTGGAGAAGGGACAGGGACAGAATCAGGAAGAGGAGATGAAGCTGGGGACCCAGTCGGCTGGCTAATTGCAAAGAGCTCAAAGTGGATTTCATGCCGGACCAGCCGAGAAGTATGCAGCGTTTTATCGCCCTTCGCCAGACGCCGATGCGACAAAAGCAATTTCAGCCGCCGCAGCCTGGCAACGACGTCAAAGTGCAGCCCCAATCTCCAGTTCCAAACGCTCCCTATCTCACCCCCCTCGATTCCCTGGCATCCTTTGTACTTCAACCCAAACCCTTTGGGATCCTATGAACGTCAACAGCAGGCAGGGAGTCAGCCTGGCAGGCTGGGAATTATAAGTCTCACTGCAGTTTTGCCTTCAAACAATGTTAAATACATTTAAGGAACCCAATTGAATATAGTATTCCCATAAAATATTTAAAAAAATGTACATCTAAAATTCTGTCACTACCTAGTTTTTTTTCTCACTGCAGCGGATGCTACAACTCTACACCCGCCCTAGTCCATTCCCTAAGCCCAACTCCATGCCCATCGAACGGCGTTGCTGGGCATTAAAAACTGATTTCTGGAGAATGCAGATGGACAACAAGATGGCCAAGATGGCTCCTTAGGGCAGCAGCAGCAGCAGCACGGAATGTGAATCCAACGAGACAACGGGCGAGACAATTCAATTTGCGTAACAGCAGACAAGACCAGAAATGGTACAAGGCGGAGAGCCATCATTATCGGGAGGAGCCTCTTGGTAAAAGGGGCACATCCTCCTCTCCTCCGTAACCAAGGAACGTTATTGGAGTCAAGTTAACGGGCAGCACAAATGAGTGAGAGAGTGACGAAGAGAGAGAGCACCATAAACGAATTAAAATGCCTTTGGCTCTGACATCCAGAACGAAACGGAACCAGAACAGACCAAGGCCAAGTCTAGTGCAGCATCCGCGGCAGTCACACCAGGCCATTAATGCAACAGCTGGTCAACCAGTCAGGCCGTCGAGCTCTCCCTTTTCTATTTGCGGCATCTTGCCATTTTTATTATATATATATATTTTTTTTTTTGCAATTTTTCTGTATCTTGGCTGCTTTTCTTCCTGCCCCTGGCAGATGTTCGATTAGTGACGCACAAATTAAGCAAGTGTGGAGTTTTCCCAGAAGCTTAATGGAAAATCTTGGCCTTTTCAAGTCAAAGTGGTGAAGGGAATGGTTTATTTTACGGTGGATGAGAGATATTAGAGGGAATTGGTAAAATAAATTAACTCTAAAGTAGCTTATTAATAAGTACAAAAAAAGTTTCAAATATATTTATCTTCTGCAATAAAACTCATCATACTTGGCATCTATTGCGATTAATTTCAATTGAGGGAAATGGGAAATGCACACGGCTATTGGCCAACAAAGACAACAACAACAACAGCATTAACATCAACAATCAGCTGACAAGCCGGCTGTCATATCCCTATTTAGCCAACAATTAGCAGCACTCATAGCCGCCAGCTATCCGCCATGCATCCGATTGTCACCCTGACATGCCCGACTAATGACCGCATCGGTATTCCATTCCACTCGGATTCAGATTCAAATTCCCTCGCTTTCACCCCACCTCCCTCCCTTGGTCCGTATCCCGTATCCGCATTCGTATCCGTAGCGGCATCGGTATGTGTACAGCAAATAGCTGTATCTGTATCTGTATTCGCATCTGCATCTGCATCTGTGTCATAACAACAAGCAGAACAATGCATTGACGACGTCCGTACGGGATCATCAATAACCGACAATGGCCAAAGGGGAGGTGGGTGGGTGGTAGGTGGGTCAAGTCAGTAGCACAACAATTGCTGCAGCTGTCAAAGTGGGCAGTATGGAGTGGAGCAAAGCTATGTTTTTATATTGTATGGGAGGTTCCGCTTTGACCTTTATGGAAATCGGAATATTATCGCCTACATAAAACTTAATCCTAATTAGTTTGACTTTGTCAATTATATCAATTTAGAAATGGCCACAAATATGGTACGATTTTAGGATTCAAGTTCAAGAAAATGTATCTATTTTAATAAAATAATAATTTTAATATTAGTACGGTTTATATTTACAGGTTAAACGAGTTTAAAACTTGTACAATCATTGACTTTTTCGCAAAGTGTAATGCCAGAGGCTAAGGATGCAGGGGTAAAAGACAGCGATGATAGGACACAGATAAGTGCGAGTATATCGGTGGGGGAAACCAGGGACAAGGGGAGGCCATTAAATATATATATCTTCCAGCTGACCAGCACTATACATATGTGTGGCACGATAGCAGCAACATGCGACATGTTAATTGTTTGCCAGAAAGCCAGCAGGCAAGCACGGGACAAAGGCACAAGACAGACACAGCTGCGGTAAAGTTAATAGCATTTTTCAGTGTTTAAAAAAATTCTATTGAAAAAAAAAACACAAAGTATAGTGTTTTCTGTACTTTGTACTTATATATCAATGTCAAATTCAAATCCTTGATTCTACTAGCTCAACGGGCATTGTACAACCTCCGAACAGGTGGTCAGTCCGTGGGTCCCTGCCTGATATGAATTTTGCAGGGTTCATGCTTGAGGGCCTGCAACAAGTGGCTGCTGCTGCCTCAGGTGCACTCAGTCAGGGGAATTTAGATATAGGAATCGAAATCGGGAATCCGGGAATCGTCAACAGCTACAAAGGGGACCGGACCGGACCGGAAGAGGCTTATTTGCAGCGGAAGCAGCGTCCATGAGTCACCCCCAAACTCCAAGCCAGAATTGGGACCACAAACCCCATTCCATACCATTTCATTCCATTATGCAGCAGGTAAAACCGCCTCGTCTCGACCAGAACTTGTGGGTGTGACCCTCAATTGGTAGCTAAGAGCTCACAAAACTCAGAGCTCGGGGCTCGGCTCGGATGGGAGATCGTAATGGATTGCGGTTGGATTGGTACCGAAAGTGTTGGATAAGCAGGAGCGGAGCGGTAAACCCACAGGGGGACCAGTGGTAATGCAACTGCACTGAGGAGCTGCTCATCTGAAGCTGGCATTCCATTTGAATTATTCATTGCCAAGGAAGCCACATGGGAGTGGAACTGGATGTGGCAATGGATATGGAGAAGGAGAAGGAGAAGGAAATGAAAATGGAGTTGGAGTGGGAGAGATGGCAGTGCATATGTAAGTGGCAATAGCAATTGGAGCTGGTTTAATTGCCGAGCAAACCGAAAACTAAAGTAAAGCCATAATCCTAGGTCATGCACAGAGAAAAGTGGATTTTTTAAGATATTTTTATATTCATTTAGTATATTATTATTAATATTGGAACATGATTAAGTAGAAAATTTCACTTAAAAAGTAACAGCACGCCTTTAAAAAGATTCAAGCTTTAAACAAAGACACAGTTTGCTTGTTTGCTAACAAAATCCTAGGCTTATCCAAATTATTGACTATTTAACAATTATTTTCGTTAAGTTTTGAGCTTAACTTAATAATTTGAAAACTGGTTTTGGCAAGACAAACGTATTATTTAAAATTTCTGTTGTGCACTCTTGGGAAATTTGCAATCAAATCCCCAATCGCATCATCGATGCCATTCAATTGCACACTGAATTCCACTCGACTGTTTCCCCCCCAATTTCTCAGCTCCGCAGACTTTTCCGGGAACTGCTTTCGATTGAAATTCATAAGCAAATAGTGGTCAGGTGAGTTGGCTGAGTCTTGGGCTTGGGAAATTTCTTAAGAATTAATTAAAACCTAAACACAAAGGCAGGCGGCGAGTCAAGGCGAAGAGCGAGGAGCTCTTTTGGCTAAAAAGTTGAACGGGTGAACGGAGAACAGTGAACGTCGAAAAGGGCTGAATGCAATATATACCCTTCGTTTTGGGGGCGTGGCTTATGTGGGCGTTCAATTAAAGTTCAGTCGAACTCATTTCGCCATTAGGCAAATTGAAATGAAACTTAATTGATTGTGGGCCGCACTTGAAATCCATTCTCTTTCTGCTCTCCGGGGGGAAAACCAGCGAGAATCCTGATTGCATCCAGGTAAAACCGGGGGGATGCTCCTTTGGGGGTCTGCATTTCACCTTGACGTCATTTGTCCCACACAATTGAAATGAAAATGGCTCTTTGCCTGCCTCTGCAAATCTGGCAGCTTAGATTGATTCGATGCAGGTTTCACAAAATTCTAGAAAATGCATTTTCCAATCTAACTGATTTTGTTCATACCTCGGCATCTTTAAGGTCAGTTTTTGGGTTGGTTAAAAGCATCAAGAGGGAATTCCAGTCTGAAGTTCGACGCTAATCAACCTAAGTTACTTATTTAAAAATACTTTAATTAATATTTAATATATTAAACTATTCTATGTTCCAAATTAGGGCTTCCTTTATACTTCAAGTCAATTTATTTCCTATACCTTGGCTTATTTTCTATTCCCA